TCCAGTGCGTGTTTCCAGTGCGTGTTTCCAGTGCGTGTTCCCAGTGCGTGTTTCCAGTGCGTGTTTCCAGTGCGTGTTTCCAGTGCGTGTTTCCAGTGCGTGTTTCCAGTGTGTGTTTCCAGTGCGTGTTCCCAGTGCGTGTTTCCAGTGCGTGTTTCCAGTGCGTGTTCCCAGTGCGTGTTTCCAGTGCGTGTTCCCAGTGCGTGTTCCCAGTGCGTGTTCCCAGTGCTCCCAGTGCGTGTTCCCAGTGCGTGTTTTTAGTGCGTGTTTCCAGTGCGTGTTTCCAGTGCGTGTTTCCAGTGCGTGTTCCCAGTGCGTGTTCCCAGTGCTCCCAGTGCGTGTTCCCAGTGCGTGTTTCCAGTGCGTGTTTCCAGTGCGTGTTTCCAGTGCGTGTTTCCAGTGCGTGTTTCCAGTGCGTGTTTCCAGTGCGTGTTTCCAGTGCGCGTTTCCAGTGCGTGTTTCCAGTGCTTGTTCCCAGTGCGTGTTTCCAGTGCGTGTTTCCAGTGCGCGTTTCCAGTGCGTGTTTCCAGTGCTTGTTCCCAGTGCGTGTTTCCAGTGCGTGTTTCCAGTGCGTGTTTCCAGTGTGTGTTTCCAGTGCGTGTTTCAAGTGCGTGTTTCCAGTGCGTGTTTCCAGTGTGTGTTTCCAGTGAGTGTTTCCAGTGCGTGTTTCCAGTGTGTGTTTCCAGTGCGTGTTCCCAGTGCGTGTTTCCAGTGCGTGTTCCCAGTGCGTGTTCCCAGTGCGTGTTTCCAGTGCGTGTTCCCAGTGCGTGTTTCCAGTGTGTGTTTCCAGTGCGTGTTTCCAGTGCGTGTTTCCAGTGCGTGTTCCCAGTGCGTGTTCCCAGTGCGTGTTCCCAGTGCTCCCAGTGCGTGTTCCCAGTGCGTGTTTCCAGTGCGTGTTTCCAGTGCGTGTTTCCAGTGCGTGTTTCCAGTGCGTGTTTCCAGTGCGTGTTTCCAGTGCGTGTTTCCAGTGCGTGTTTCCAGTGCGTGTTCCCAGTGCGTGTTTCCAGTGCGTGTTTCCAGTGCGTGTTTCCAGTGCGTGTTCCCAGTGCGTGTTCCCAGTGCGTGTTTCCAGTGCGTGTTTCCAGTGCGTGTTTCCAGTGCGTGTTCCCAGTGCGTGTTTCCAGTGAGTGTTTCCAGTGCGTGTTTCAAGTGCGTGTTTCCAGTGCGTGTTTCCAGTGCGTGTTTCCAGTGTGTGTTTCCAGTGCGTGTTTCCAGTGCGTGTTCCCAGTGCGTGTTTCCAGTGCGTGTTCCCAGTGCGTGTTCCCAGTGCGTGTTCCCAGTGCTCCCAGTGCGTGTTTCCAGTGCGTGTTTTTAGTGCGTGTTTCCAGTGCGTGTTTCCAGTGCGTGTTTCCAGTGCGTGTTTCCAGTGCGTGTTTCCAGTGCGTGTTTCCAGTGCGTGTTTCCAGTGCGTGTTTCCAGTGCGTGTTCCCAGTGCGTGTTTCCAGTGCGTGTTTCCAGTGCGCGTTTCCAGTGCGCGTTTCCAGTGCGTGTTCCCAGTGCGTGTTTCCAGTGCGTGTTTCCAGTGCGTGTTTCCAGTGCGCGTTTCCAGTGCGCGTTTCCAGTGCGCGTTTCCAGTGCGCGTTCCCAGTGCGTGTTTCCAGTGCGTGTTTCCAGTGCGTGTTTCCAGTGCGTGTTTCCAGTGCGTGTTCCCAGTGCGTGTTTCCAGTGCGTGTTCCCAGTGCGTGTTTCCAGTGCGTGTTCCCAGTGCGTGTTCCCAGTGCGTGTTTCCAGTGCGTGTTTCCAGTGCGTGTTCCCAGTGCGTGTTCCCAGTGCGTGTTCCCAGTGCGTGTTCCCAGTGCGTGTTCCCAGTGCGTGTTCCCAGTGCGTGTTCCCAGTGCTCCCAGTGCGTGTTTCCAGTGCGTGTTTCCAGTGCGTGTTCCAAGTATGTGTTCCCAGTGCTCCCAGTGCGTGTTCCCAGTGCGTGTTTCCAGTGCGTGTTTTTAGTGCGTGTTTCCAGTGCGTGTTCCCAGTGCGTGTTTCCAGTGCGTGTTCCCAGTGCGTGTTCCCAGTGCGTGTTCCCAGTGCTCCCAGTGCGTGTTTTCCCAGTGCGTGTTTTTAGTGCGTGTTTTCCAGTGCGTGTTTCCAGTGCGTGTTTCCAGTGCGTGTTTCCAGTGCGTGTTTCCAGTGCGTGTTTCCAGTGCGTGTTTCCAGTGCGTGTTTCCAGTGCGTGTTTCCAGTGCGTGTTTCCAGTGCGTGTTTCCAGTGCGTGTTTCCAGTGCGTGTTCCCAGTGCGTGTTTCCAGTGCGTGTTTTCCAGTGCGCGTTTCCAGTGCGCGTTTCCAGTGCGTGTTCCCAGTGCGTGTTTCCAGTGCGTGTTTCCAGTGCGCGTTTCCAGTGCGCGTTTCCAGTGCGCGTTTCCAGTGCGCGTTTCCAGTGCGCGTTCCCAGTTCGTGTTTCCAGTGCGTGTTTCCAGTGCGTGTTTCCAGTGCGTGTTTCCAGTGCGTGTTCCCAGTGCGTGTTTCCAGTGCGTGTTCCCAGTGCGTGTTTCCAGTGCGTGTTCCCAGTGCGTGTTCCCAGTGCGTGTTTCCAGTGCGTGTTTCCAGTGCGTGTTCCCAGTGCGTGTTCCCAGTGCGTGTTCCCAGTGCGTGTTCCCAGTGCGTGTTCCCAGTGCGTGTTCCCAGTGCGTGTTCCCAGTGCGTGTTCCCAGTGCTCCCAGTGCGTGTTTCCAGTGCGTGTTTTTAGTGCGTGTTTCCAGTGCGTGTTTCCAGTGCGTGTTCCCAGTGCGTGTTTCCAGTGCGTGTTCCCAGTGCGTGTTTCCAGTGCGTGTTTCCAGTGCGTGTTTCAAGTGCGTGTTTCCAGTGCGTGTTTCCAGTGTGTGTTTCCAGTGCGTGTTTCCAGTGCGTGTTTCCAGTGCGTGTTCCCAGTGCGTGTTTCCAGTGCGTGTTTCCCAGTGCGTGTTTCCAGTGCGTGTTTCAAGTGCGTGTTTCCAGTGCGTGTTCCCAGTGCGTGTTTCCAGTGCGTGTTTCCAGTGCGTGTTTCCAGTGCGTGTTCCCAGTGCGTGTTTCCAGTGCGTGTTTCCAGTGCGTGTTCCCAGTGCGTGTTTCCAGTGCGTGTTCCCAGTGCGTGTTTCCAGTGCGTGTTTCAAGTGCGTGTTTCCAGTGCGTGTTTCCAGTGTGTGTTTTCCAGTGCGTGTTTCCAGTGCGTGTTTCCAGTGCGTGTTCCCAGTGCGTGTTTCCAGTGCGTGTTCCCAGTGCGTGTTTCCAGTGCGTGTTTCAAGTGCGTGTTTCCAGTGCGTGTTCCCAGTGCGTGTTTCCAGTGCGTGTTTCCAGTGCGTGTTTCCAGTGCGTGTTCCCAGTGCGTGTTTCCAGTGCGTGTTCCCAGTGCGTGTTTCCAGTGCGTGTTCCCAGTGCGTGTTCCCAGTGCGTGTTTCCAGTGCGTGTTTCCAGTGCGTGTTCCCAGTGCGTGTTCCCAGTGCGTGTTCCCAGTGCGTGTTCCCAGTGCGTGTTCCCAGTGCGTGTTCCCAGTGCGTGTTTCCAGTGCGTGTTTCCAGTGCGCGTTTCCAGTGCGCGTTTCCAGTGCGTGTTCCCAGTGCGTGTTTCCAGTGCGTGTTTCCAGTGCGTGTTTCCAGTGCGCGTTTCCAGTGCGCGTTTCCAGTGCGCGTTTCCAGTGCGCGTTCCCAGTGCGTGTTTCCAGTGCGTGTTTCCAGTGCGTGTTTCCAGTGCGTGTTTTTAGTGCGTGTTTCCAGTGCGTGTTTCCAGTGCGTGTTTCCAGTGCGTGTTTCCAGTGCGTGTTTTTAGTGCGTGTTTCCAGTGCGTGTTTCCAGTGCGTGTTTCCAGTGCGTGTTCCCAGTGCGTGTTTCCAGTGCGTGTTTCCAGTGCGTGTTTCAAGTGCGTGTTTCCAGTGCGTGTTTCCAGTGTGTGTTTCCAATGCGTGTTTCCAGTGCGTGTTTCCAGTGCGTGTTTCCAGTGCGTGTTTCCAGTGCGCGTTTCCAGTGCGCGTTTCCAGTGCGCGTTCCCAGTGCGTGTTTCCAGTGCGTGTTTCCAATGCGTGTTTCCAGTGCGTGTTTCCAGTGCGTGTTTCCAGTGCGTGTTTCCAGTGCGTGTTCCCAGTGAGTGTTTTCCAGTGCGTGTTTCCAGTGCGTGTTTCCAGTGCGTGTTTCCAGTGCGTGTTCCCAGTGCGTGTTTCCAGTGCGTGTTTCCAGTGCGTGTTCCCAGTGCGTGTTTCCAGTGCGTGTTTCCAGTGCGTGTTTCCAGTGCGTGTTCCCAGTGCGTGTTTCCAGTGCGTGTTCCCAGTGCGTGTTCCCAGTGAGTGTTTCCAGTGCGTGTTTCCAGTGCGTGTTCCCAGTGCGTGTTCCCAGTGCGTGTTCCCAGTGCTCCCAGTGCGTGTTTTTAGTGCGTGTTTCCAGTGCGTGTTTCCAGTGCGTGTTTCCAGTGCGTGTTTCCAGTGCGTGTTCCCAGTGCGTGTTTCCAGTGCGTGTTTCCAGTGCGTGTTTCCAGTGTGTGTTTCCAGTGCGTGTTTCCAGTGCGTGTTCCCAATGCGTGTTCCCAGTGCGTGTTTCCAGTGCGTGTTTCAAGTGCGTGTTTCAAGTGCGTGTTTCCAGTGCGTGTTTCCAGTGCGTGTTTCCAGTGTGTGTTTCCAGTGCGCCTTTCCAGTGCGTGTTTCCAGTGCGTGTTCCCAGTGCGTGTTTCCAGTGCGTGTTTCCAGTGCGTGTTTCCAGTGCGTGTTTCCAGTGCGTGTTTCCAGTGCGTGTTTCCAGTGCGTGTTTCCAGTGTGTGTTTCCAGTGCGTGTTTCCAGTGCGTGTTCCCAGTGCGTGTTTCCAGTGCGTGTTTCCAGTGTGTGTTTCCAGTGCGTGTTTCCAGTGCGTGTTTCCAGTGCGTGTTTCCAGTGCGTGTTTCCAGTGCGTGTTTCCAGTGCGTGTTTCCAGTGTGTGTTTCCAGTGCGTGTTTCCAGTGCGTGTTTCCAGTGCGTGTTCCCAGTGCGTGTTTCCAGTGCGTGTTTCCAGTGCGTGTTTCCAGTGCGTGTTTCCAGTGCGTGTTTCCAGTGTGTGTTTCCAGTGTGTGTCACTGATTCTCACCGGAGCCTCTTTGGAAAATGGCGATGGTTCCGTCAGACAGACCCACGAGCACACGGCCTTTCACATGTCTGCAGGAAACAGACAATATGTGATGAAAACAAATACATGTGGAAAGTAAAGCCAGAACAAGACATGGACAGTTGTATCTATTCCTACAATTTATTCTTGATTCTTTCTAGCTGTAGATGTTACTGCAGTAAAGTAAAATCTACAGCTACACCAAAATATATCAGTGACATGTTAGTCCCATATGAACCAGCCCGGACTCTGAGGAGCACAGGGACTGGACTCCTGCTGGGACTCTGAGGAGCACAGGGACTGGACTCCTGCTGGGACTCTGAGGAGCACAGGGACTGGACTCCTGCTGGGACTCTGAGGAGCACAGGGACTGGACTCCTGCTGGGACTCTGAGGAGCACAGGGACTGGATTCCTGCTGGGACTCTGAGGAGCACAGGGACTGGACTCCTGTTAGTGCCCAGAGTCAGAACTAAACATGGGGAGGCTGCTTTTCAGATTCATGCTGCTAAAATCTGGAACAGTCTTCCTGAAGATGTGAGACAGGCCTCCTCTCTGACAATGTTTAAAACCAGGTTAAAGACAGTTCTGTTCAGCTGTGCTACAACTGAGGGATTTTATATTTTTATCTTTCTTTTTAATGTTCTGTGATTATCTATGATTTTAATGCTTTCTTGTTTTGTTCAGCACTTTGAGTTGCCTTGTGCATGAACCGTGCTATACAGATAAACTTGCCTTGTCTTACAATGATCATGGTTTTTACACTGATCCAGAACAGAGCAGAGCGGATTTTTTGAAAACTGCTCATAAAGCATTCAGAATTTCACTCTGAACCAGAGCAGAGAAAATGGTCCGAACCAAACAGACTCTGCAGACATAAAACTTTTAGACTTATGTTCATTTGTGTGTATGGATGGATGGATGCTAACACCTGCATTTTCCATCACTAAAGTGTCATCTATCTATTACATCTCTAATAAAGCATGAACAAACACTGTAAAGCAACCGTATGTTTTAACAAAAGTCATGGATTATTTATTATTTATTTGAATTTAGGACAGTACATATTCATCAACGTGTCTGCAAACAGCGTCAACATAAATATGCTGGAATTAGCACGTTATCTAAATTGCATCCATTGTCCTAAGGCAGGTAAGAAACACACAAACACACAAGTAGTAAAAGTACAAACAATAAGTCGACAAGCACAACATGAAGAATTTAAAAGAGAAGAGAAAGAGAAAGCCCAAGGAGGAGCAGATCATCTATGGGAGCATGACTGGTTTTTATTTCAACCAATGTTTGACTCCTTTAAATGTTTGGTAGGTCCCACAGTTTCTAATGTGTTCCGGCAAAGTGTTCCATAACGTTGTGCCGTTATCGGTCCATTCATAAATTCTTCACACCTTATTGTGGCCGATAAGGGGAGTTATCATGAAATCTTTGTGTTGCGTTTGTGTTGTGTTGTGTTGTACTCACACTATGCCCAACACCGAGTCCTTGAGCTTCACAGTGTGCAGACAGGTCTTCCACTGAGCCACAGACGAATGGACATACACGCTGCAACACACACATGATCAGAGCAACACAAACATGATCAGAGCAACACACACATGATCAGAGCAACACACACATGATCAGAGCAACACACACATGATCAGAGCAACACACACATGATCAGAGCAACACACACATGATCAGAGCAACACACACATGATCAGAGCAACACACACATGATCAGAGCAACACACACATGATCAGAGCAACGCACACATGATCAGAGCAACACACACATGATCAGAGCAACACACACATGATCAGAGAAACACAAACATGATAAGAGCAACGCACACATGATCAGAGCAACACACACATGATCAGTGCAACACACACATGATCAGAGAAACACACACATGATCAGAGCAACACACACATGATCAGAGCAACACACACATGATCAGAGAAACACACACATGATCAGTGCAACAATGTACAGTGAATATTTCTGATTTGAATGCCTTTTGTGATTGTTTTGTTATGTACTTGGCGTTGCTTTGTGTGTGTGTAATAACCGTGCCGTGGTTACCATCCGTTCTGCGCTCCCAGCCACATGGTTGGCTGCACGCTGCTCATCCTCTGCGCCTCCTCTCGGCTCAGGTCCTGCTCCTGCTCCTCTGAGCCCTGGTCCACAGGCTCCGCCCCCTCAGCGTCTCTGAGGGAACAAGCAGAGGAGGCGGGGTTTGATCTAACTTTTGTATGAGCCTAAGTCACAGCAGTAGTCGCCTCAGAGGACTTTACAAAGCTGTCGATTCGCCAACACAGATCAGAGAATCACAAAGTTCAAACTCAAAAAATGCAAGAATAAAATAACAGAGCCATTGGTCCTGAAGGGGCGGAGACCAATGTGACAAACACATTCAAATGTGACTGCGTTAAAAAATATATGTTTATTTAACCTTTTTGTATCCTTGGGTTAAAATGACCCTGGGCTGGTCAAGTAAAAAAAAAAAAGAAGAAAGAAAAAATGGCTGAGTGGATAGCACTCTCGTCTCTCAGCAAGAAGGTCCTGGGTTCGAATCCCGGTCGGGCCAGGGCCTTTCTGAGTGGAGTTTGCATGTTCTCCCCGTGTCTGCGTAGGTTTCCTCCGGGTACTCCGGTTTCCCCTACCACTAAAAATATGTACAATAGTTCTGACATGCACCTCCTGTTCGGCGACCCCGCTCCCATCTCTGTGTGGAGTGAAAGACAAATGCCCAAAAAAAATAACAATTGTAAACCGCTTTGAGACTCTGGTCTGTGAAAGGTGGTATATAAATAAAATAAAGATTACTTACTAAAAATGATAATCAAATTCATCTTATTTTTTTATCAACTTGGCCCAAGGATAGCACAAGGGGTAAAGGTAACACAGAAGTTTAGGAAGATTCATCTCTTCTTAGTAGAAATAAAAGTATTGGCTTCTTGTATACCAGACAATATGAAGTTGTGTGATGTTATACCTTGACATGTGTCATGCCGTATCCGTCGAAACATATCAGGGTAATAACATCACGAAACCTTTTATTGTCCGCCGGATCTAATCAAAACAGTTATTATGTCATCAAGTTAAGTTTGGTTAACTCATATGGTTAAGTTTGGACGACCCTGATATAAACCAATAATATACAGCTTTAAGCTGTGAGGCGAATATACAGAGAACGTTGTCCAATATGTGACAGTGATGTCATCAGAGTGCGACAGCAGTGCTCTAGTGCAGATCAGACTTGTGTGTACTCGTTACTTTTACTCTATTCTAGTGGCAGAATAGTGTCAAAAATTCCTCAAAACATTAAATGGAATTTTTTTTTTTAAACCAAGCTGTGCAGTACTGCCCCCTGGTGCTGGTGTGTGTGTCCTGATGGTCCTTACCCCTGGTGCTGGTGTGAGTGTCCTGATGGTCCTTACCCCTGGTGCTGGTGTGTGTGTCCTGATGGTCCTTACCCCTGGTGCTGGTGTGTGTGTCCTGATGGTCCTTACCCCTGGTGCTGGTGTGTGTGTCCTGATGGTCCTTACCCCTGGTGCTGGTGTGTGTGTCCTGATGGTCCTTACCCCTGGTGCTGGTGTGTGTGTCCTGATGGTCCTTACCCCTGGTGCTGGTGTGAGTGTCCTGATGGTCCTTACCCCTGGTGCTGGTGTGTGTGTCCTGATGGTCCTTACCCCTGGTGCTGGTGTGAGTGTCCTGATGGTCCTTACCCCTGGTGCTGGTGTGTGTGTCCTGATGGTCCTTACCCCTGGTGCTGGTGTGAGTGTCCTGATGGTCCTTACCCCTGGTGCTGGTGTGTGTGTCCTGATGGTCCTTACCCCTGGTGCTGGTGTGTGTGTCCTGATGGTCCTTACCCCTGGTGCTGGTGTGTGTGTCCTGATGGTCCTTACCCCTGGTGCTGGTGTGTGTGTCCTGATGGTCCTTACCCCTGGTGCTGGTGTGAGTGTCCTGATGGTCCTTACCCCTGGTGCTGGTGTGTGTGTCCTGATGGTCCTTACCCCTGGTGCTGGTGTGTGTGTCCTGATGGTCCTTACCCCTGGTGCTGGTGTGAGTGTCCTGATGGTCCTTACCCCTGGTGCTGGTGTGTGTGTCCTGATGGTCCTTACCCCTGGTGCTGGTGTGAGTGTCCTGATGGTCCTTACCCCTGGTGCTGGTGTGTGTGTCCTGATGGTCCTTACCCCTGGTGCTGGTGTGAGTGTCCTGATGGTCCTTACCCCTGGTGCTGGTGTGTGTGTCCTGATGGTCCTTACCCCTGGTGCTGGTGTGTGTGTCCTGATGGTCCTTACCCCTGGTGCTGGTGTGTGTGTCCTGATGGTCCTTACCCCTGGTGCTGGTGTGTGTGTCCTGATGGTCCTTACCCCTGGTGCTGGTGTGTGTCCTGATGGTCCTTACCCCTGGTGCTGGTGTGTGTGTCCTGATGGTCCTTACCCCTGGTGCTGGTGTGTGTGTCCTGATGGTCCTTACCCCTGGTGCTGGTGTGGGTGTCCTGATGGTCCTTACCCCTGGTGCTGGTGTGTGTGTCCTGATGGTCCTTACCCCTGGTGCTGGTGTGGGTGTCCTGATGGTCCTTACCCCTGGTGCTGGTGTGTGTGTCCTGATGGTCCTTACCCCTGGTGCTGGTGTGTGTGTCCTGATGGTCCTTACCCCTGGTGCTGGTGTGTGTGTCCTGATGGTCCTTACCCCTGGTGCTGGTGTGAGTGTCCTGATGGTCCTTACCCCTGGTGCTGGTGTGTGTGTCCTGATGGTCCTTACCCCTGGTGCTGGTGTGAGTGTCCTGATGGTCCTTACCCCTGGTGCTGGTGTGTGTGTCCTGATGGTCCTTACCCCTGGTGCTGGTGTGTGTGTCCTGATGGTCCTTACCCCTGGTGCTGGTGTGTGTGTCCTGATGGTCCTTACCCCTGGTGCTGGTGTGAGTGTCCTGATGGTCCTTACCCCTGGTGCTGGTGTGTGTGTCCTGATGGTCCTTACCCCTGGTGCTGGTGTGAGTGTCCTGATGGTCCTTACCCCTGGTGCTGGTGTGAGTGTCCTGATGGTCCTTACCCCTGGTGCTGGTGTGTGTGTCCTGATGGTCCTTACCCCTGGTGCTGGTGTGTGTGTCCTGATGGTCCTTACCCCTGGTGCTGGTGTGTGTGTCCTGATGGTCCTTACCCCTGGTGCTGGTGTGGGTGTCCTGATGGTCCTTACCCCTGGTGCTGGTGTGTGTGTCCTGATGGTCCTTACCCCTGGTGCTGGTGTGTGTGTCCTGATGGTCCTTACCCCTGGTGCTGGTGTGTGTGTCCTGATGGTCCTTACCCCTGGTGCTGGTGTGAGTGTCCTGATGGTCCTTACCCCTGGTGCTGGTGTGTGTGTCCTGATGGTCCTTACCCCTGGTGCTGGTGTGAGTGTCCTGATGGTCCTTACCCCTGGTGCTGGTGTGTGTGTCCTGATGGTCCTTACCCCTGGTGCTGGTGTGTGTGTCCTGATGGTCCTTACCCCTGGTGCTGGTGTGTGTGTCCTGATGGTCCTTACCCCTGGTGCTGGTGTGAGTGTCCTGATGGTCCTTACCCCTGGTGCTGGTGTGTGTGTCCTGATGGTCCTTACCCCTGGTGCTGGTGTGAGTGTCCTGATGGTCCTTACCCCTGGTGCTGGTGTGAGTGTCCTGATGGTCCTTACCCCTGGTGCTGGTGTGAGTGTCCTGATGGTCCTTACCCCTGGTGCTGGTGTGTGTGTCCTGATGGTCCTTACCCCTGGTGCTGGTGTGAGTGTCCTGATGGTCCTTACCCCTGGTGCTGGTGTGAGTGTCCTGATGGTCCTTACCCCTGGTGCTGGTGTGTGTCCGCTCCCAGGGGGTCAGCGTAGACGTGCTCGGTGTAGGCCCCTCTCAGGCTGCCTCTTCTGTCTGCTGCTGTGGGACTGCCCTCAGAGGCCTCCACTGCCTCCTCTGCTCTGGAGTCTGCACAAACACGTTAAAGTAAACTCAGACTATAACAATGAATAGGTCTAAGTCCTACAGCCCTACAGCCTCACAGTCCTACAGCCTCACAGCCTCACAGCCTCACAGTCCTACAGTCCTACAGCCTCACAGTCCTACAGCCTCACAACCCTACAGTCCTACAGCCTCACAGTCCTACAGCCTCACAGTCCTACAGCCTCACAGTCCTACAGCCTCACAGTCCTACAGCCTCACAGCCCTACAGCCTCACAGCCCCACAGTCCTACAGCCCCACAGTCCTACAGCCTCACAGTCCTACAGCCCTACAGCCTCACAGTCCTACAGCCTCACAGCCCTACAGCCTCACAGCCCTACAGTCCTACAGCCCTACAGCCTCACAGCCCTACAGCCTCACAGCCCCACAGTCCTACAGCCTCACAGCCCCACAGTCCTACAGCCTCACAGTCCTACAGCCCTACAGCCTCACAGCCCTACAGCCTCACAGTCCTACAGCCTCACAGTCCTATAGCCCTACAGCCTCACAGCCCCACAGTCCTACAGCCTCACAGTCCTACAGCCCTACAGCCTCACAGCCTCACAGTCCTACAGCCCTACAGCCTCACAGCCCTACAGTCCTAAAACCTCACAGCCCTACAGCCTCAGAGTCCTACAGCCCTACAGCCTCACAGCCCTACAGCCTCACAGTCCTACAGCCTCACAGTCCTACAGCCTCACAGTCCTACAGCCTCACAGCCCTACAGCCCCACAGCCCTACAGCCTCACAGTCCTACAGCCTCACAGCCCTACAGCCTCACAACCTCACAGTCCTACAGCCCTACAGCCTCACAGTCCTACAGCCTCACAGCCCTACAGCCTCACAGTCCTACAGCCTCACAGTCCTACAGCCCTACAGCCTCACAGCCCCACAGTCCTACAGCCTCACAGTCCTACAGCCCTACAGCCTCACAGCCTCACAGTCCTACAGCCCTACAGCCTCACAGCCCTACAGTCCTAAAACCTCACAGCCCTACAGCCTCACAGTCCTACAGCCCTACAGCCCTACAGCCTCACAGCCCTACAGCCTCACAGTCCTACAGCCTCACAGTCCTACAGCCTCACAGTCCTACAGCCTCACAGCCCTACAGTCCTACAGCCTCACAGCCCTACAGCCTCACAGCCCTACAGCCTCACAGCCCCACAGTCCTACAGCCTCACAGTCCTACAGCCTCACAGCCCTACAGCCTCACAGCCCTACAGCCTCACAGCCCTACAGTCCTACAGCCTCACAGCCCTACAGCCTCACAACCTCACAGTCCTACAGCCCTACAGCCTCACAGTCCTACAGCCTCACAGCCCTACAGCCTCACAGTCCTACAGCCTCACAGTCCTACAGCACTACAGCCTCACAGCCCTACAGCCTCACAGCCCTACAGCCCTACAGCCTCACAGTCCTACAGCCTCACAGTCCTACATCCCTACAGCCTCACAGCCCTACAGTCCTACAGCCTCACAGCCCTACAGCCTCACAGCCCTACAGTCCTACAATTGGCCAAAATGCTTGCCAATTGTCCTGATGTACATCCTACAGCCTCACAGTCCTACATCCCTACAGCCTCACAGCCCTACAGCCTCACAGTCCTACAGCCTCACAGCCCTACAGCCTCACAGCCCTACAGCCTCACAGCCCTACAGCATCACAGCCCTACAGCCTCACAGCCCTACAGTCCTACAGCCTCACAGCCCTACAGTCCTACAGCCTCACAGCCCTACAGCCTCATAGCCCTACAGCCCTACAGCCCTACAGCCTCACCTCCGTTGGTCTTCACTGGACTCTGGGGAGCACTGGCGCCCTCAGCCGTGCAGCCCAGCACTTTGATGCCCCCCAGCAGACCCTCGCTCTCTGGGGTGGGACTGGCGCAGGAGGAGGGGTCCTGGGAGGGCCCCGGGTTCTCGAAGGTCTCCTCTCCTGCGGGGTAGTCCGTCTCTCTGGCTCCTGCACAACACACACACAAACACACACACACACACACACGGTTTAAACATGGACACCTCATTTTGTTCATTGGCATCAAACATGGGACGTTTTGGAGCTAAAATATCTTACAAATAAATTAGTTTTGCCAAATATAGAGAAGAAACATATCGTCTTTACCAGTGTTTGTGTTCCTTGCGTTTTGGAGCACACCACTGTAACAATTTCAGCCAACATACATAGTGGTCCGAACAGTGAAACTAATTTTACCATAAGCACACGCACACACAAACATTGGACACGCACACACAGACCTGGGACACTGGTGATGCAGAGCACGTGTGAGCTGCAGACCAGGAAGCTCTCCAGGATGTTGCCAGGTTGGTTGGCGTCGATGACCACGGCTTTGGTGGTGGACTGAGTGCTGGTGCAGATCCACACCAGAGACGACAGCTCCTCCTGCTGCCTGTGCTCCTGCTGCTGCTCCTGTGAACACACACACACACACAAAGGGCCACACACACACACACACACACACACACACACACACACACACCCAGAGGACACACAGAGGCCACATGAGGACCGCTGAATGATGCTTCATTTGGTCTAAATAAAAGAGAGAGAGTTGCCTTGAGCTCCTGGTCCAGCTGGTCCAGGCTGCTCTGCCTCTTGTTGTGGGGGCTCTCTGGAGCAGGGGCGTCGCTGTAGAACACACTAGCCCCCACGATGGAGCCCCCGTCTCTGGTCCTCCCCCCGGACAGGTTCACTCCAGCCGCACACCACAGCTGCAGAACAGAAGAAAGATGGATTTTACGGCATGTCTCTGGTTGTTCTGACGGAGGCTTATAACCATGTGGCGTTGGCGACTAAAACCAGTGGTGAACAAAGGGATCTGTTTTTGTGATTTTCCTTCATCAATCATTGGCTGTTTGGACAAGAAATGTCAGTTAAATAAGTAAGTCCTGTTTATTCAATCTTTCACAGACCAGAGCTTTACACTTATTAGCGCCGCCCAGACCTATGTTTTTACTGATAGAGGAAACCGGAGCACCTGGAGGAAACAGACACAGGGGGCACATACAAACTCCACACAGAAAAGTCTGGAAGTGGAATCAAACCCAGGATCTTCTTGCTGTGACGTACAAGCGCTAACCACTTTTCAGCGCTACCATGTGACGTGACGAAGACGTGACGAAGACGTGACGAAGAAGTTTCATAATAAAGGATTGTTTTAATAAAAATGTAAATAATGTGGTCTTTCTTTGGCGGTTCGGTTCAAATGTCCCACAATAACAGCCTCTAAACACTTCCTAGAACTTATAGTTAGAGTCTGGATTTTGATGGAAGGAATTTTGGACCATTCTTCTTTGCAGATCATCTCTACTTCAGTCAGGTTGGATGAGTTCCGAGCCTGAACCGCCGGATTAACACCGCAAACATTTAAAAACCTTCAGGTCTGGGACGGAGATGATCATTCCAGAACTTTGTACACTTTCTGTGATTGATACAAACTTTATTTCCCTTCTCAAATAACACTTTGTCTCCTCGTGATATATTCAACTGCCATTTCTTATAAACAATTATTAAAGGAATATCATACAACTTGAGAGGGGTGCCCAGACTTTTACACCACTGTATAAGCCTGAGACCGACCTTCATAGAAGCATCTTTCTCGTCCAGAGGTCGGAGGAACACAGGGACCGGCAGGTTCTTCAGCTTACTCTCCGCCTGTCCCCCATTGGCCTGAACACATACAGTCAGAATTCAGTCAGATTCAATAGTATTGCAATATTTGACCCATAATTAAATATTAGTGCAATTCTTAAAATATTGTGATTCCATTCTGTGATAGATTGCGATTCATGTCCCTAATTTTTCAAAGACATAAAAAAAATAGTGGAAAATAAGACTCTTGTCTCTGTGACAGGAACTGAAGCAAACACTGAGGAGGGAAGGACCTTTTTACAGACAAGACGAATAACAAGCGCCACCTTGTGGATGTAATATGCAAATGTATAGAAAACGGAAAAGGGAAAAATATAATAATAATTAAATACCACAATACTTTGCGCTAATGTATTGATTTTTTTTTTACTTGCACAAAATATTGCGATACTGAACAGAATAATTTTTCTTTCCCACCACTAACTGTTATTAATCATAGTGATGAAACAAAAGTGAAAGCAGACCTTGTACTTCTTGGGCAGACTCCAGCCGTAGGCCTGCACCCGGCCGTCCTCCTTCTGTACGTGAGCTTTGACCTGTTGGTACTGCGCCCTCTTCTGTTCACGCCGGGACACTACACTCTCAGCAGGAGCTCTGAGCCACAGACGGAAAGTTCATGTTATCAGTCAATTCAATTTGTTTTGTTTTTGTATCGCTCAAAATCACAACCGGTTTTCTCGGGAGACTTTACCAAATTGTCCATTGGCCACCAACAGGTAAGACAATCAAACTATTAGAACACAGAAAGGACTAATGCCAAGGAGCCATTGGTCCATATGGAGCGGGATGAGCAGGAATGTTCTGGATCATCACTGCCCTTAGACGAGGGGTGTCCAAAGTTTTTAGTAAAAGGGCCACTTACCACACTGCCCCGGGGGTGACAATGCAAATTGAGTGTATTCTGGCTGTTCTGAGCTTTAAAATTAGACATGTGATTTTTGTTGCTTTTTTCTATCTATGTTCCTGCAGTACAGCGTTCATGGTTTTACACTGATCCAGACCTGAGCGGAGAGGATGGTCCCAACCAGGCAGATCTAACGAAATCACTACAGCCTCAGTCCTGGGTTTACAACCTAAGTCCTGGGTCTACAGCCTCAGTCCTGGGTCTACAGCCTCAGTCCTGGGTCTTCAGCCTCAGTCCAGGGTCTTCAGCCTCAGTCCAGGGTCTTCAGCCTCAGTCCTGGGTCTTCAGCCTCAGTCCTGGGTCTTCAGCCTCAGTCCTGGGTCTACAGCCTCAGTCCTGGGTCTACAGCCTAAGTCCTGGATCTACAGCCTCAGTCCTGGGTCTTCAGCCTCAGCCCTGGGTCTTCAGCCTCAGTCCTGGGTCTTCAGCCTCAGTCCTGGTTCTTCAGCCTCAGTCCAGGTTCTTCAGCCTCAGTCCTGGTTCTTCAGCCTCAGTCCTGGTTCTTCAGCCTCTGGTCTCTGCCTCTTATGGACCAATGTGTTATCTCTCTCGCTTTTAGGTCTCTCACTCTGGTCTTTCTCTCTCTCTGGTCTCTCTCTCTCTCTCTCTCTGGTCTACCTCTCTCTTGTCTCTCTCTCTCTCTCTCTGCTCACTCTCTCTCCAGACTTTTATGGGCAGCATGTATACTCCCTGCTCATGAATGCAGCGGAGCAGGACTCACTCTTCGTTGAGGAAGTCGAAGGCCTTGCTCTTGTCGCTGGGCAGCTGCTGGAGGGTGCTGCTCTTCTTCTTCACCGAGGGCTGGACCTGAGCCGTGGGAGCGTTGTACTTGACGTTCACCGGAGACTCGGCCGCCGGCTTCTTGGCCGCCGCACCCGAGGAGCTGAACAGACGGCTGAAACTGCAGGGGTAAGGGTGGGGCAGTAGGGGGCGACAGAAAGACAGAACAGACAAACAGGAGAAGGGTGACAGGAGCTGAAGCCACGCACAGGGATCACACAGAGACCTGTCCGAGCCACACAGAGTCCTGCCCGAGCCACACAGAGTCCTGCCCGAGCCACACAGAGACCTGCCCGAGCCAAACAGAGACCTGCCCGAGCCACACAGAGTCCTGCCCGAGCCACACAGAGTCCTGTCCGAGCCACACAGAGTCCTGCCCGAGCCACACAGAGTCCTGCCCGAGCCACACAGAGTCCTGCCCGAGCCTCACAGAGTCCTGTCCGAGCCACACAGAGTCCTGCCCGAGCCACACAGAGTCCTGCCCGAGCCTCACAGAGACCTGCCCGAGCCAAACAGAGACCTGCCCGAGCCACACAGAGTCCTGCCCGAGCCACACAGAGTCCTGCCCGAGCCACACAGAGTCCTGCCCGAGCCACACAGAGTCCTGCCCGAGCCTCACAGAGTCCTGTCCGAGCCACACAGAGTCCTGCCCGAGCCACACAGAGTCCTGCCCGAGCCACACAGAGTCCTGCCCGAGCCACACAGAGACCTGCCCGAGCCACACAGAGACCTGCCCGAACCATACAGAGTCCTGCCCGAGCCACACAGAGTCCTGCCCGAGCCACACAGAGTCCTGCCCGAGCCACACAGAGTCCTGCCCGAGCCACACAGAGACCTGCCCGAGCCACACAGAGACCTGCCCGAGCCACACAGAGACCTGCCCGAACCATACAGAGTCCTGCCCGAGCCACACAGAGTCCTGCCCGAGCCACACAGAGTCCTGCCCGAGCCACACAGAGTTCTGCCCAAGCTACACAGAGCACACTCTACCCTCCACTAATACTGTGCTATACAAATAATAAATAAATACTGCACCTCAATTCAAACCTAAGCAGGTCTATCTCTCTCTGGTCTCTCACTCTCTCTTGCTGGTCTCTCTCTCTCTATGGTCTCTCTCTCTGGTCTCTCTCTATGGTCTCTCTCTCTCTCTATGGTCTCTCTCTCTCTCTCTCTCTCTCTGGTCTCTCTCTCTCTCTCTCTCTCTATGGTCTCTCTCTCTCTCTCTATGGTCTCTCTCTCTCTCTGGTCTCTCTCACTCACTCTCTATGGTCTCTCTCCCTCTGGTCTCTCTCTATCTCTCTCTGGTCTCTCTCTCTATGGTCTCTCTCTCTCTGGTCTCTCTCTCTGGTCTCTCTCACTCACTCTCTCTATGGTCTCTCTCTCTCTCTCTCTCTGGTCTCTCTCTTTCTCTGGTCTCTCTCGCTCTCTCAGGACGTGTGTTTAATCTTCAAAGTAAGTTTGTTTTTAACAGAGCCATACAAAAATATCGGATAATTCATTAACTCATTAAATAAAACACGGTCCACTGTGTTAGGTCTTGGTTCAACAGGTTTTATGCATCATTCTAATATAAACATTAAACCAGTGCGGCCCTCGGCTTGTAGCAAACTGTTTTTTGGCCTCTGATGTCTTTGACTTTGACATCCCTGGATTAAATGAATGTATGGATCTTATTATTGCCTTTTTGACGAGGCTGAAGGGTCAGAGGTCAGAGGTGACGATCCAGGACTCTCCACATTCAACAACACTTATGGACTTTGGTCTCTGCTTTTCTGGTTAGTGTTTGGCTTTGGACGTTAGTGAACACACAACAAACACACACTTCCAGACCCACCCCAGAGTCACACCTGCCTAACCCCAGTGCTGAAAGATACACACCTCCTACACACAGACATCACAACAGCAGCAGAGAAGGGACACACAACAGAGCAGAAGACACCGTTAGCTTCTGTTTGAGCGCCTTTGATCCCAAAAATCAGCACATTCTCCCAAACACCAACACAGTTCAAGCTGGAGCTGCAAAATTACGGGTATTTTCAAAGATGGAAACTTTCTATGGGAATTTAAGGAGTTAACAGCAATTTATGAGAAAATTCGGATTTCTTTCATCCTCTGGTCTCGCTCTCTGGTCTCGCTCTCTGGTCTCGCTCTCTGGTCTCGCTCTCTGGTCTCGCTCTCTGGTCTCGCTCTCTGGTCTCGCTCTCTGGTCTCGCTCTCTGGTCTCGCTCTCTGGTCTCGCTCTCTGGTCTCGCTCTCTGGTCTCGCTCTCTGGTCTCGCTCTCTGGTCTCGCTCTCTGGTCTCGCTCTCTGGTCTCGCTCTCTGGTCTCGCTCTCTGGTCTCGCTCTGGTCTCTCTCTCTCTCTGGTCTCTCTCTCTCTCTGGTCTCTCTCTCTCTCTGGTCTCTCTCTCTCTCTGGTCTCTCTCTCTCTCTGGTCTCTCTCTCTCTCTGGTCGCTCTCTCTCTCTGGTCGCTCTCTCTCTGGTCGCTCTCTCTCTGGTCGCTCTCTCTGGTCGCTCTCTCTGGTCGCTCTCTCTGGTTGCTCTCTCTGGTCTCTCTCTCTCTGGTCTCTCTCTCTCTGGTCTCTCTGGTCTCTCTCTCTCTGGTCTCTCTCTCTCTGGTCGCTCTCTCTCTGGTCGCTCTCTCTCTGGTCGCTCTCTCTCTGGTCGCTCTCTCCGGTCTCTCTCTCTGGTCGCTCTCTCTGGTCGCTCTCTCTGGTCGCTCTCTCTGGTCGCTCTCTCTGGTCGCTCTCTCTGGTCGCTCTCTCTGGTCGCTCTCTCTGGTCGCTCTCTCTGGTCTCTCTCTCTGGTCTCTCTCTCTGGTCTCTCTCTGTCCTCTCCTCTCCCTCAGGTCTCTCTCTCTCTGGTCTCTCTCTCTGGTCTCTCTCTCTGGTCTTAAATATAGTTGAGGTAAGTATATTTTAGCAGAATCAATCACAGGCAGTAGCGCTGTGACAATAGAGACAGCGCCCCCTACTGGCCTTGTGTCTTCATCACATGTACAGAGGGTTTCTAGAGGACTGGAGACACTGTTTTGTCCACAGCCTCAAATCTGTAAGTTTTGATGATATTATGGGGAACTTACAAATAAATCTGTTGAAATCTGTTGGAATATCTTGACTATAATAAAATTAATCTTAACATCACATGAAAATTATCTGGAAACTTTCCGTAATTTTGCAACCCTATTTAAAGCTCCGACCAAAATGCATTTCAAACACGTGCGTCCACACTAACGGCAGAGCTGTACCTACATCCTGCGGACCAGCGTTTTAAATACCACCATAAGAAAAGCAAAAAAAAAACATGGGGGATTTAATATGGCACAACAGTTCTATTCAAAAACAGAGAAGAAGAAAGTAAAATCACGTACAATTGCCACAGGCTGGATTTCTTTTTCTCTGGAAGTGCGGGGTTCTCCTTGGAGGCTCTGGAAAAACACAACATCAGAGAAAGAATTATTATCAAAGGACAAAACCTGTTGTACACATTTTTAACTTTTACCCACAAACTCGGACAACGCAGACAAAATATTGGTGAAAACTATTAACTTAATCTTTGGTATTGGCTGGTGTTGTTCCTTTCCTTCGATTGTTGAAATTGGTTGGACAAAAATAAAACATTATGTAGTTTTCAATTTCAATTTTCAATTTTATTTGTATCGCCCGAAATCACAACAACAGTTGTCTCAAGGGGCGTCACAGAACCGCCAACTCCCAACGGCTGTGGACCAGTCTTCAGGTCCAGGGAGTCAGGGTTTCGAGTCCCACCAGCGCGTCATGAAACAGAGAGAGGGACAACAGGTGAACAGCAATGCAAAAACGAAATTTAAGCATTTACAACAAATTAACTGTAAAAAACGAGAACTATTTATCCTGCAGTCCGTGGATATGACGGGTTAAAAAAGATATATATTAGAAAAGACAGTTCGGGAAAAGTTTGGTGCTTCATTTAAAGTGCAGTCACAACAGTGCACTAAACAGTTGTGTATGTACGGTGCATTAAAAAAGGTGCATTAAAGCAGTTGTGTATGTGTGTGTATGGTGCTTTAAAAACAGAATTGTGTATGTATGGTGCATTAAAAAGAGGGCATTAAAAACAGTTGTGAATGTATGGTGCATTAAAAACAGGGCATTAAAAACAGTTATGAATGTATGGTGCATTAAAAACAGGGCATTAAAAACAGTTGTGTATGTATGGTGCATTAAAAACAGTTATGAATGTATGGTGCATTAAAAACAGGGCATTAAAAACAGTTGTGTATGTATGGTGCATTAAAAACAGGGAATTAGAAACAGTTGTGTATGTTTGGCCATTAAAAACAGTTGTATGTACAGGGATTTTAACATTTGAATGAAGGAAGCATGGTGAATTGAGAACCGTTGAATAGGGAAAAAAATAAAAAATAAAATATATATATATATATACATATAATAAAAATACAAGTCCAGCCCACAGGGGAGCAGGATAAATAGCCCTAAGTGTTACTAGTTATCTATCTGAGCTAACCATACGCTAATCCAAAGAGGAATGTTTTAAGTCTGGCCTTGAATAAAGGGACTGTGTCCGCCTCTTTGATAGATGTAGGAAGCTGATTCCACAAGACAGGAGCTTGGTAGCTAAACGCTCTGCCTCCTACTGTGCTTTTGGACACTCTAGGGACCACCAGGCGTCTGGCATCCTGAGAGCGAAGTGCACGGTTTGGTTGGTATGGTTCCAGTACATTCTGGAGGTAGATGGGGGCCATACCATTTGTCGCCTTGTAGGTCAGGAGAAGAATTTTAAAATTTGATTCTAAACTCCACAGGAAGCCAGTGGAGCGCTTTCAACACTGGGGTTATATGTTCCCTTCGTTTAGTGCCTGTCAGGACCCTTGCGGCTGCATTTTGGACTAGCTGGAGGCCGTGTATAGTGGATTTGGGACACGCTGCTAGGAGAGCGTTGCAGTAGTCAAGGCTTGACGTAACGAACGCATGGATAAGCTTTTCAGCATCACTTCGCGGCAGGATACCTCTAATTTTTCCAATATTTCGCAGATGGAAGTAGGCCGTTTTCTTTGATTGATTTACATGTGCTCGAAAGGAAAGCTCTTGGTCAAATATGACCCCTAAATTTCTTACCCTGTCACTGGGGGAAATACTGACGTTGTCGAGTCTAGTGATCTGGTCGCGGAGAGCGTCACGCATGCTTTTAGGGCCTAGGACAATTACCTCTGTTTTATCAGGGTTGAGAAGCAGGTAATTCAAGGTCATCCAGGTCTTTATGTCTTTAATACAGGCACTGAGTCTATCTATCGTGTTTGTTTGGTTTGGTCTCACCGATAAATAAAGCTGCGTGTCGTCTGCGTAACAGTGAAAGTTAATGTCATGGTTTCTGATAATATTTCCTAAAGGTAGCATATAAAGTGTAAACAAAACCGGACCTAGTACTGATCCTTGAGGCACACCAAAGGCCACTTTAGAACAGAGTGAGGATTTTTGGTTCACACTCACAAACTGGAACCGATCTGATAAATAGGATTCGAACCAGTGAAGTGCTGTTCCTCTGACACCTATGTCACATTCTAGCCTCTGTAATAGTATCTTATGGTCTATCGTGTCAAATGCGGCGCTGAGGTCTAGCAGAACTAGCACTGACACCAGTCCGTTATCGGCGGCTAGTAAAAGATCATTCGTGACATTAACTAATGCGGTTTCTGTACTGTGATGAGCTCTGAAGCCTGATTGAAATTGTTCTGCTAAATGATTGTCCCGTAGATGGCGGTGTAGCTGCTCGGCTACAACTCTTTCAAGAATTTTTGAAATAAAGGGGAGATTGGAAATGGGTCTGTAATTGGCAAGCAGGTAGGGATCAAGATTAGGTTTTTTGAGAAGTGGTTTGATTACTGCAGCTTTAAATAATTTTGGAACATAGCCACTTTCGAGTGAGGTGTTTATAATGCTTGAAATAGAGTTAATTATTAGCGGGAGAGTATCTTTAAGAAGTCCAGTTGGAATTGGATCTAAAATGCAAGATGATGTCTTAGAGGATGCAATAGCTGAGATTATTTCGGCTTGGCTCACGGTAGTGAACCTGTTCAGGGTTACCAGAGGGTCCGAATCTGACAATAATGACACAGTTTGGCCCTGCTCCCTGCTAATGGAGGGAATCGTCTCATCCAGTTTATTGCGAATTTTTGTGATCTTGCAGTTAAAAAAATTCAGAAATTCATCGCTACTAAGGGTAATTGGCACCTTTGGTTCCACAGAATTATGGCAGTTTGTCAGCCTGGCTACAGTGCTGAACAAAAACCTAGTGTTGTTTTTATTTGCTTCAATTAATGTTGAGTAGTAATGTGTTTGAGCCTTGCGAAGGGCATTTTTGTAAATTATGAAGCACGTTCTCCATTCCCTGTGAGAGGCCTCCGAGTTAGAGTGGCGACTCAGTCTCTCCAGTTTTCTAACCCTCTGCTTCAAAGTGCGCAGTTCAGAATTGTACCATGGGGAGGAATGCCTTTGCCTGATGGTTTTTTGTTTTATTGGAGCGACTACGTCCAACGCCATTTTTAGTGCGTTCATAGTGCCGTCCACAAGTTGGTCACATTCCGTAGGATTTAGACTACTCAGAGCAGGCTCACTTGACATGGTGCCAAATGTTGGCTCTATCATTTCTTTGAACTTTAAAATGGTTGTTTTGTTTATGGTCCGTTTCATTATAGTTTTATTCTGTGGTACAGGGTAGTCATTAAGGGTAATATTGAAGGTGATAAGGGAGTGATCTGATAGTAAAGGGTTTTGAGGGAGGACACAGATGTTGCTAGCTTTGATACCATATGTCAGGATGAGATCAAGCGTGTGCTGGTGACTGTGTGTTGGCTTTTTAACACTCTGTGTGAAGCCAAATCCATCTAACAAAGTAAGAAACGCTCTGCTGAGGCAGTCTTTGCAGTCATCGACATGTATATTGAAATCTCCAACTATCACAATGTTGTCCCATTTCAAAACTAAATGTGTTAAAAAATCAGAAAACTCTGCTATAAACTCACTATAGGGACCTGGGGGTCTATACACTATTATGAATAAAACACCTTTTTGGTTCCTCCAACTTGGACAGGAGATTGACAGTGATAGGCTTTCAAAGGAGGAGTATGTCCCATTAGTTTTTGGATTAAGGAGTAAACTTAAGTGCGCTATAACTGCGACACCACCTCCACGGCCTGAGGCTCTAGCGTTTTGATAATTTACATGGGTGGGTGGTTGGATTCATTCAATCTGACATAGTCGTCTTGCTGGAGCCATGTCTCAGAAAGGGCAAGTAACTGAAGATTGGAGTCACCGATTAATTCATTTACAAGGAGGGATTTAGAAGAGAGTGACCTAATGTTTAGTAGACCACATTTCACAAGCATATTCTTAGGACTGGTAGATTGGGTAGGAATTTGTATTAAGTTTTTATGTCTAACGCCTGAAGTAGCTCTTTTAAGATTAAATATTACTTTTGAGCTGGAGCGGGGAATGTGCACAGTCTCTATCAGTTTAGGGTGTGAAAGCTTTTGTGGTTGTTTGGGGCCAAAATTCTCACAGGTGTTCTGTTGTTCAGAGCGAGAGGCTGCACGGTTCAGTGGAAGAACTGGAGTTATACTGCCAGACAGATAGGAGTCACTGTTTGCACCATTGTACTCACCCGGTGTTTTTGAGGGGTAGGCGCAGAGATGTGGTGGGGGCCCAAGGGGGCTCAGATGTAAACAGTCACGCCTCCCTCTGGCAGCATTGTACAACGTGGCGAATATAGTCCATCAACAGACTGCTGCCGTATCTGTTGGGGTGGAGACCATCCGAACGATAGGCTTCGTGACGCCTCCAGAAAAGGCCGAAGTTGTTTACAAAGGCAAAGTTAAAGGATCTACATGTAGACTGGAGCCACATGTCCAACGCCACGACACGACTGTAGAGACAGTCACCCCGGTTTACGGTTGGGATTGGACCAGATATAAATACAGACAAACCGGAGGATTGGAGGAGGCGAAAAAGATCCATAAAATGCTTCTTTGTGACCTCGGACTGCTGCAGTTTTATATCGTTTATCCCCACATGAACGATCAGCTTGGAGATAGTTTCCGGCAGAGAGCGAAGCAGAGGAGGGAGACGTATGAGGAGGTCTGGGACAGTAGCGCCGGGAATACAGTGAGTGACTGCGTTAAAAAAGCGAACGTGTCTTATGATGGAATCTCCCATAATCAAAGACGTTGGGGCAAAAAGTGGACGCGGCCGCGGAGAGGGCGCTCGATGGACAGAACCAGCGGGCTCATCCAAAGCAAGATCCGAACTTGAGCGCTTCCCCGCACATGGGGAGCATCGGGCATGTTCACTTTTCTGTCTGGGTAACTCTGTGTTACCTCTCTGTGTTATCGGGGAAGTTGGTGAGTCCAGAGGGGCTGGCTCAGGGCGCTGCTGCTGACCCGGTGGAGGAGAGCGGCTGTGATAGCTCACTTCCTCACGTTGAGGCTGCTGTGGTGGGATCAGACAAGCGGACCGGGCTAGGAGAGATGGGGGACCACTCTTTCGCCTCATGACTGCTTCCTTTAAGAGCGTCTTTCTGGCGACAGATTTAGATTGGCGTGGAGCAGTGGGGTCATCTGTGGAGTCCGGGGTACAGTGTGCCTGCTGATCCAGTGGTTCCGATGATAGAGCCGGAATGTCAGGGGAGAGGACTGCATATCGGTTTGAGAGGCTCAGGACATGAGCCACAGCAGCACTGGATGATTCGACGCAGCCCGTTCGTTTATTATCCAAAGCCGGGAGCTTGGGAGTTGAGCACAAAGGCCCAGGATGAATGGACTTCTCCCAAACAACTGTATCGTAATATGCTGCACTCAACGACAGCAACTGTGAATGTTGGCCACCGGCAACTTCAAGAAGTTTGGACACAAGCGCTTGTTTGTCCTGCAACTCTGCAGTGAGACGCAGAACTTCCTTACGGAGATGAGTAACAGTAGCACGATCGCTCTCCTGTAGCTCCGAGGTGAGGCGGCTAATTTCATTTTTGGCACTTATTACATTGTCACATTCCATCGTCCGTGTTTTTCCGACTTTCTAATTTAAAGTAGGACGTAGTTTCGTTGTGGACTCGTGGTAGCCTCAGTGCTAACGACTTTCAATTTAATCGTCGCTTGTTTGTATGTAAGATTGTGATGAATAAGAACACTGAATCAATATTAAGAAGTCAACTAAGAGTATCCCCAAAATGTATTAAAATATCAGCAACATGTATACTAAAAACGTTTAAAATATGAACTAAACGGAGAGCTCACACGGGGGCCTCCCGTGCATCTCAGTGTCACCTGAGTCAGCAGGTGACACTGCTTCTTTTGTCTGTATTTAGTAATTACTCAAAGATATACTAAAAATCTTCTTGGGTCGAATAATCATATGCGAATAAAATGCTATTAATTTAAGCTTAAAGGAGCTATATACGTTTCTGCAGGTTTTTTCAGTTTGAATGTTTAGCCCCGCCCCCAACTCGCTCACAGGCTTCTCATTTCCCCTACGCTCTCATCCCACAGAGCCATCTAGTTTTATTTTTGATCTGTTACGTATGCTAACAGTAGCATTAGCACAACTTCTTGTAAGCTGTACAACAATCACTGATGAAATGGTACAAAAGCAACGCACTGCTAACAAAATATATAACTGAAAGATTACCGCTAGTTCCGCGTCCAAATGTGGTCCGAGCGCAGATAGTCCGAGCGCAGATAGTCCGAGCGTAGATAGTCCGAGCGTAGATAGTCCGAGCGTAGATAGTCCGAGCGTAGATAGTCCGAGCGTAGATAGTCCGAGCGCAGATAGTCCGAGCGCAGATAGTCCGAGCGCAGATAGTCCGAGCGCAGATAGTCCGAGCGCAGATAGTCCAAGCGTAGATAGTCCGAGCGCAGATAGTCCGAGCGCAGATAGTCCGAGCGCAGATAGTCCGAGCGCAGATAGTCCGAGCCCAGATAGTCCGAGCGTAGATAGTCTGAGCACAGATAGTCCGAGCACAGATAGTCCGAGCACAGATAGTCCGAGCACAGATAGTCCGAGCGTAGATAGTCGGAGCGTAGATAGTCCGAGCGTAGAGAGGCCGAGCGTAGATAGTCCGAGCGTAGATAGTCCGAGGCGGTCCCGCAGGTCTCTCCCATAGACCAGTCTCTCCAGAGGATACGATGTAAGCTAGCTCTGTTCAGGGCTTGGTTTCTTCTTTGATCATGTTTTGGCTTTAGTTCCTCTTCTCTTCCTCACTGTTGTGTGGTTTGGGCTGTTTTGCTGTGTCTGCAGTTACAGCCAGAGGAGTTATAGCCACTTATGCTAACATGCTACTGTGTTTAGCAGCGCTGTAGAGGCTAGAGGAGGCGTGACCTAGAGGAGGCGTGGCCTAGAGGAGGCATGGCCTGTTCGTAATAGCGCCGCTCCTCGTTCTGTGATTGGAGGAGAGCGGGCGTCACGCTAAGTCTCTACTCAGCACTTTTTACGGCCTGAATTCACACATAGCTGAATCAATGAGCTCAAATTTTCAATTAAATTACGGATTATAATACACCTTCTTTGTGCATCTTTGTGCCAGGGCGACACGGTGGCTGAGTGGATAGCACTCTCGCCTCTCAGCAAGAAGGTCCTGGGTTCGAATCCCGGTCGGACCAGGGCCTTTCTGAGTGGAGTTTGCATGTTCTCCCCGTGTCTGCGTAGGTTTCCTCCGGTTTCCCCTACCACTAAAAATATGTACAATAGTTCTGGCATGCGCCTCCTGTACTGGCCCCGCTCCCATCTCTGTGTGGAGTGAGAGACAAATGCCCAAAAAATTGTAAACCGCTTTGAGACTCTGATCTGCAGTGAAAAGGCGGTATATATAAATAAAAGATTACTTAAAAAAAGATTACTTTGTAGTAATATGCATTTTTATGAACTCATTAGAAAATACATTGGGTATAGCTTCTTTAAGAAACACTTTTATTCATCCCTAAAGGGAAACTTATCCTCTGCATTTGACGCATCCTGAAAGTTCCTCTGGGCCTCTATCAGCAGCAGTGGTCGCTGTACTACATGTTTTCATTGGGAGGAGAAACTGGATGAAACCCACGCAGACACGGGGAGAACATGCAAACTCCACTTAGAAACACCCTGTTCCGAACGGGGTTTGAACCTAGTACCTTGCTGAGAAGCGAAAGTTCTGGTGAAGTCTATACATGCGGCTCCCTGACCCTGACCTTAGCAGAGTTGTATGTATAGGATCTGTAGTTTAGTGGTGTAAAGTGAGGCCGGTACCGGATCATCTCGGTCCAGCGCACCGCCTCCTGCAGCTCCATCAGGCGCTCCTTGTACTGGTTCCGCTCCATCAGGACCCGGGCCATCTCCACCCGAGTGAACCGCTTCCTCTGAGCTGTGGGCACGTCGCTCTAGAGACAGAGAGAGACACACACAGAGACAGAGAGAGACAGAGACAGAGAGAGAGAGAGACACACACAGAGAGAGAGAGAGACACACACAGAGACAGAGAGAGACAGAGACAGACACAGAGAGAGACACACAGAGAGAGAGACACACACACAGACACGTGCACACCCACAGAGACACACACAGACAGAGACACACAGACACACAAGGACATAGACAAGAGAGAGACACAGACACACGATTTGGTGTTAGAAAATTAGAAAACTAAAGTAGTGTATAACTTTATAACGCCTGCTATTGATACTGTGATGTATTTGCGCCCCAGCATCTTTCTGCAGCTCAAGTTGTGTGTTTTTGACCAAAAGTTTATCCTCATTCGAGTGGACTGGACATGAGCCATTCGCCTATGTGTTCTGAATAAAAATTGCTTTATTTGTATCGCACCTTTTAGACACAAGTGCAGCTCAAAGTGCGTCACAGCAGCCAAATATAAACAATATCTGACTGTGTGTGTTCATGTGTGTGTCTCCTCTCACTGTGTTTAGTATATTTTTAGTTTTTTGCACCAAATTAACAAACTAGCTTTACAAAAAGCTCAGATAAAAGACTAGAGTAAACACAAAACAGTGAAACAGATCGTCATTGAATCAAATATCGCGATACTTTTCTCTACTGTAACAATCTAATGGCCATAATATGGTGATACTGAACAGAATCGACCCCTCCAGTCCAAAACAGTCTGACGTGTGGCTGAAGAACACTCACATCGTCTTCAGCGTCGTTCTTGACCTTGTGTTTCGCCTCCTCCAGCTCCGTGCGAAGCCTGCGTGAGAACAAATCATCTTTAATTGTGTTTCTGAAGTGAAGAGTCCTCGAGCGGCTCCTCCTCACTTTCTGATCTCGTCCTCCAGCTCCTTGTTCTTCTCCTCCAGTTTGGCCTTGGCCAGAGAGACTGCGGTCAGCTCTCCCTGCAGCACCTCCTTCTCACAGGTCATCTCGTCCAGCTGACCAATCAGATCGTTCTTCACCACATTCAAAGCGTTTCTGCAAAAGTCGAAAGCACACACGAGGTTTAACACCACACAACAGCACAACAAACATCTACACAACACAGGGAGCCTTTGTCACCACTGACAGAACCCTAACAGTGGTTTGATCGTCGCAAAAAGTAAACAAGAGATTAGTCTAGGGCTGTATAAGGACTATTTTGATGATATTTTACAGGCCAGGGCAAAGTACGGCCCGAGTGCCACATGCGGTCCAATTCATGTTTCTATGTGGCCCTAGGACCTTTTCCCATCAACAAATTCTGCCTATTTAAATGAATGGCAATCACTATGAATGTTTGCAACTTCAAGTTTCTCTCTTCTTCTCTTCTGTGAATACTTTTGTTTATCAACTACATGCATATACACTCAAATTAAATGATAACCACATGAAAACAGATTAATCGGCAGATGAATATTGGTTAACGGGGACGCCAAAATCAGTGGGGCTCTAAGTATAATAATATTATATCAATGTGCCCCAGACAAGCCAAGCAACCAGTCTGTACCATCAGCCCCTCCCACCAACCATTCACACACACATCAGACTCATTCTAATGTGGGGGAAGTGTCTTGCCTACGGACACAACCACAGTTTGGCACATTACCGCCGCAGCCGCCCCACTGTGGCACCTGCTGTTCTCAGAGGTCTCCCATCACAGTACTAACCAGGCCCTACCCTGCACAGCTTCAGAGGTCTAACAGAATCTGGCTTTTACCTGCAGATATGGCCACAACCTTAAAAGATAACACATTTTCGGTGAGGTCCAAATACTACAGCTAAAACTACCCCACAACATGAACAACACGGTAAACAATTGCAAAATATGAGTTTTTATCCAAGAACTGTTCCTACATTTCCTCATTCCAAGGGAGAATTTATTGTAATTTTTTTAAAACAAGATCATTTTGCATTGTCCCATTGTCAAATCTTGCTCAAATTCAGACAGTTATCCAAATTTGAGCATTTTTTGACATTTTATGACTTATATTCCATCACTTTTTGCAGTGAAGTAACAAGTCCTTTCAAAGTGTCGTGGTCTAAAAGTGAAATGGAAGAATAAAACCGGTCCTCACTTAATCTCCAGCAGGTGGGTGTTTTCTTGGATGAGATGCTCCACTTCTCGTCCCATGCCTTAAACATTCACGTAGAAAAAACATGTCAATTCAAAAGTGTAAATAAAACACAGTATTAGCCAGTATTATCCTTTTTACCCAGAAAGTTGAAGTCTGTCAGCAGAGAGGAAATCAGAAATATGTTGGTCATTTCACATAATAATAAAAAGCCCAGAGTTGATACAGACGCCACTCAAAGGACGATCAACCGAGGGATAAACGATGGGTCTAACGATGATGGTGAACGAGCCAATGAACCGGGTTAAGTAAGTAAGTAAGTAAGTAAGTAAGCTTTATTTATATACCGCCTTTCACAGACCAGAGTCACAAAGCGGTTTACAATTGTTATTTTTTGGGCACTTGTCTCTCACTCCACACAGAGATGGGAGCGGGGTCGCCGAACAGGAGGCGCATGCCAGAACTATTGTACATATTTTTAGTGGTAGGGGAAACCGGAGTACCCGGAGGAAACCTACGCAGACACGGGGAGAACATGCAAACTCCACTCAGAAAGGCCCTGGTCCGGCCGGGATTCGAACCCAGGACCTTCTTGCTGAGAGGCGAGAGTGCTAACCACTCAGCCACCGTGCCGCCCAACACTAGAACTCCCAGTCGATTTGACAGATTTTAGTTTTAGAAGTGTAAATACTCATGTACCTTTTTGGTCTTCAAAAGTTTGGGAATTTTTCTTTTTCTATATGAAATTTATTTCTATGTCATTATTTTTATGAGATGGTCCTGAAAATTGGCCTTTGAGCCAAAAGGTCGTGGGTTCGAGCCCACCATGAGATCGACTCCCACTGATGACTGCTGACACTTAACCCCACTTTGCCTGAAGCCCCCACTGGCTGTGCCGTAGAGCAGCCGTCCTTCTGTGGACTCACCACCTGCAGAGGATCAGTGAGGGGCTGGTGCTATGTGGACTGGGTGGCAGCTCTGGCCACCCCCCGACCCAGACATGGATTAAGGGGAAGAAAATGGATGGATGGATGGTCCTGATATTTCAAATGTTCTTTTCGTTTTTGATTACTTTCTTCAGTCAGTTAAAACCCTTTTTTCAAGCTGCTTTTCCTGGACTGGTCTTGGACTGGTCTTGGACTGGACTTGGACTGGTCTTGGAATGGTCTTGGACTGGTCTTGGAATGGTCTTGGAATGGTCTTGGAATGGTCTTGGAATGGTCTTAGGGACTGGCCCTGGACTGGCCCTGGTTCAGCTTGGGTTTTTACCAGAGAAAAGTGATTTCTGATTACCATAGCAACACACTGTTTACTGTCAGCAGTTAGCATTTGTTAGCATTAGCTTTTCAACAAACTGTTTTTAATTCAAGTTATATTAACAAGCTTTAGCTCTTATTAAAAGTGAGTGAAAGTGAAAAAACATATAAATTACTATTAATAAATCTGGCAAAAACCAAAAAGATGGTTGGGGAATTTCTCAGAAGTAATTATTGAAATTATTATTGAAATATAATTACTGAATAATTATTGAAAGTCATTTATAGGTTTTTTACCTTCACTGGGGACAGTCAAAATGACGGCTCTGGGAGTTCCAGTGCTAAATAATGTCTCTGCTTATTAAAGGGACTTAACAGTTCACATTATCAAAGGGACACACGAAGAGACTTTGATGTGGGGTGATTCTAATCTAATCTCTACACCTGAGCACTTCTCTACTACCCACCGGAGAACTCGTCTGTGTCGCGGCGAGCGGCGAAGCGTGGGAAGAAAACATTGGTTGATTTTGGATTTTTAAAAACTGAGAATAGAAGGTGTAGCGTGTGGCTCTTACCCAGCAGGCCCCCCCCCCCCCTCGGTGTGTGGCTCTTACCCAGCAGGTCCCCCCCCCCTCGGTGTGTGGCTCTTACCCAGCAGGCCCCCACCCCCCCCCGTCGGTGTGTGGCTCTTACCCAGCAGGCCCCCCCCCCCTCGGTGTGTGGCTCTTACGCAGCAGCCCCCCCCCCCCCCCCTCGGTGTGTGGCTCTTACCCACAGCAGGTCCCCCCCCTCAGTGTGTGGCTCTTACCCAGCAGGTCCCCCCCCCCTCGGTGTGTGGCTCTTACCCAGCAGGTCCCCCCCCTCAGTGTGTGGCTCTTACCCAGCAGGTCCCCCCCCCTCGGTGTGTGGCTCTTACCCAGCAGGTCCCCCCCCTCAGTGTGTGGCTCTTACCCAGCAGGTCCCCCCCCTCAGTGTGTGGCTCTTACCCAGCAGGTCCCCCCCCCTCGGTGTGTGGCTCTTACCCAGCAGGTCCCCCCCCTCAGTGTGTGGCTCTTACCCAGCAGGTCCCCCCCCCTCGGTGTGTGGCTCTTACCCAGCAGGTCCCCCCCCTTCGGTGTAGTGTGTGGCTCTTACCCAGCAGGTCGCCCCCCCCCTCGGTGTGTGGCTCTTACCCAGCTGGTCGCCCCCCCCTCGGTGTGTGGCTCTTACCCAGCAGGTCGGCCCCCCCCTCGGTGTAGTGTGTGGCTCTTACCCAGCAGGTCGCCCCCCCCCTCGGTGTGTGGCTCTTACCCAGCAGGTCGCCCCCCCCTCGGTGTGTGGCTCTTACCCAGCAGGTCGCCCCCCCCTCGGTGTGTGGCTCTTACCCAGCAGGTCGGCCCCCCCTCGGTGTGTGGCTCTTACCCAGCAGGTCGCCCCCCCCCCGGTGTGTGGCTCTTACCCAGCAGGTCGCCCCCCCCCCGGTGTGTGGCTCTTACCCAGCAGGTCGCCCCCCCCTCGGTGTGTGGCTCTTACCCAGCAGGTCGCCCCCCCCTCGGTGTGTGGCTCTTACCCAGCAGGTCGGCCCCCCCTCGGTGTGTGGCTCTTACCCAGCAGGTCGCCCCCCCCCTCGGTGTGTGGCTCTTACCCAGCAGGTCGCCCCCCCCCTCGGTGTGTGGCTCTTACCCAGCAGGTCGGCCCCCCCCTCGGTGTGTGGCTCTTACCCAGCAGGTCGGCCCCCCCCTCGGTGTAGTGTGTGGCTCTTACCAGCAGGTCGGCCCCCCCCCTCGGTGTGTGGCTCTTACCCAGCAGGTCGGCCCCCCCTCGGTGTGTGGCTCTTACCCAGCAGGTCGCCCCCCCCTCGGTGTAGTGTGTGGCTCTTACCCAGCAGGTCGCCCCCCCCTCGGTGTAGTGTGTGGCTCTTACCCAGCAGGTCGCCCCCCCCTCGGTGTAGTGTGTGGCTCTTACCCAGCAGGTCGCCCCCCCCTCGGTGTAGTGTGTGGCTCTTACCCAGCAGGTCGGCCCCCCCCCCCCGGTGTGTGGCTCTTACCCAGCAGGTCGGCCCCCCCTCGGTGTGTGGCTCTTACTCAGCTGGTCGCCCCCCCCCCCCTCGGTGTGTGGCTCTTACCCAGCAGGTCGGCCCCCCCCTCAGTGTGTGGCTCTTACCCAGCTGGTCGCCCCCCCCCCCTCGGTGTGTGGCTCTTACCCAGCAGGTCGGCCCCCTCGTCCACGTCCCCCACCAGGTCGTTCCCGGCAGACGACAGCTCCTCGAACAGAGAGTCCGTGTTCCGGTCGAAAACCAGGTTCTCCACGCCGCCTTTAGACGGCGTGCTGCGGAGCGTAGAGGAGATTTATATTTATACATCCACTTTATATGTATAGCACATTTTATAAAACACGTTTCCATTTACTCATTACATTCAGATCGATTGTGCATGTTTTTATTCATTTTTTTACTTTGATTTGGTAAAAGAGCAAACATACAACAAACGACGTAAATATGTGGAGAGATAAATTTTTTAGGCATGCAACAGAAAACGTGTGTGTGCGTGTGTGTGTGTGTGTGTGCGTGCGTGTGTGTGTGCGTGTGTGTGTGCGTGCGCGTGTGTGTGTGCAGAACAGAACATCGTACAACATATTCATTATTATGTAGACCAGATCCAGTCCTAGCTACGTTTAGCTGGGACTGGACCTGGACCTGGACCGCCGTAACAGGTCCGTCTGAGCTCTTCTGAATGTAGTTAGCACAAACTTTCTCTTTTTCATTTACGCCCATCAATCCATATTAGTATTGTTTGTCCTAATCCAGAATGTATACAATTCTCACACCTTTTTTTCAACTTTGTGACTATCAGAAAATAAGTACAGACGAAGCGCGTCGGGGTCCGCTTATTATACTGCTTTGTACAAACTGAACACACAAAATTAACTTTAGTCACTTTTATTAAAACCAAAAGGTTTATTTAATGAGTGCAAAGAAAATAGTTCCCAAAGGTTTTCCCGTGGCAGGCGAGTAACAGTGAGGCTGGTTCACCTACTTCAAAAAAGCGATCGCTTTAGTCGCATTAAAAAAGTATTTTTTTTCCATGAAAACAGATAATTCTGAAAACCTTCGTGCACGTGTGTTACGAATATATGTATAATATATTCTCCCATTAACATTTAAATGTGTGATTTGTGTTTACTGAGTGTGGCTCTGATAGTTTCTCTCAGAGACAGTAGTGGCGTAGCCCGTTGTGACCCCATGGATCTATTATAATATCAGCTGACAGTAACTAACTAATGATCAAACTAATTACAAAGTGGACAGTACAAAAAACAACTTGATAAATCGAAGTTAATCACAGCAAAATAAACAAAGAAGGCGCTAGCATTGAATTTAAATGACAGGATAATGTTAGCATAATCCTCACCATTACCTTTTTATCAACTCAAACTTTCTACCAGTTACAGACCACGACATTCAAGCCAACGTTTTAATTGGTTTACACTATGGTCCCTGATGGTTTGATGGTGGAATTTTGCTCCTGGTTTATCATTTTTGTCTAAAGTGACAAGTGGTATTTGATTAATTTCGGCAGTGTTTGTCCGAAACATGTGGGCGGGAGTTGACAGGCGGCGGGGGCGTGTCTTTCAGATAGTTTGCTATATGTACCTTCCTTAGTTTATGGAGGACTTTTGTACAGTGTTTTCCTTGTACAGTGATTACAGCACACATACACGTGCAAATATATAAACACAAATATACAATCAAGCGACAGTACTTCCCATAGTTTCAGCATGTGCTGCTGTATTTACAAATGCTATATACGATACCTCTTCAGATTCCCTGAGTTCTGAGTGCAGTACTGGTGCAGTACTGGTGCAGTACTGGTGCAGTACTGGTGCAGTACTGGTGCAGTACTGGTGCAGTACTGGTGCAGTACCTTGTTGCTTTGAGTCCCTCCAGCTCCATGTCCAGCTCCGGAGTGGACTCGATGATGGCCTGAACCGCAGACTTCTCCAGCTCGTCTGCGCCGTCGGAGAAGACCGCTGTTAACATAAAGAATAGAATTGTCGAGCCACGTTGTTCACTCTATCTGTGGGAATCTGAAAGAAAATACATGAATAAAAGAATCTAGATCCATGTGTTTTTCACTGATGATCAGAAATATTCTTTAAGTGTTGGGTTTGAATCCACACCGCGAGGCCTTTCTCCACTCCGCCATCTTGTGGTCAATAATGGGTAAAACATGTTGTGCAATAAACCAAATAGAAAGTACATTTTGACAACACACACCAGGGGTTTTAATTATACATGAATACATTATGTAGTTACTATGATTATTATCCGGACTGATTATAAGCTGCACCTGATTATAAACTGCACCTGATTATAAGCTGCACCTGATTATAAACTGCCCTGATTATAAGCTGCACCTGATTATAAGCTGCACCTGATTATAAACTGCACCTGATTATAAACTGCACCTGATTATAAGCTGCACCTGATTATAAACTGCACCTGATTATAAGCTGCCCTGATTATAAGCTGCACCTGATTATAAACTGCACCTGATTATAAACTGCACCTGATTATAAGCTGCACCTGATTATAAACTGCACCTGATTATAAACTGCACCTGATTATAAGCTGCACCTGATTATAAACTGCACCTGATTATAAACTGCACCTGATTATAAACTGCACCTGATTATAATCTGCACCTGATTATAAACTGCACCTGATTATAAACTGCACCTGATTATAATCTGCACCTGATTATAAACTGCACCTGATTATAAGCTGCACCTTTCCCACTTTGTAATATTGAAAAATGTTTCTTGTTACTGTGAGTAATAAAAGCAACAAAATTAAGCTGCACATTACTATAAGCTGCAGCCTTAACGATACAGGTAAAAAGTCCCATCTTAAAGTCAGAAAAATCCGGTACATTAGGTTCCTTTTCCAGGTAGACGAGACTGAGTTGATATTCAATAGGCCCCACACAGCCTCTGCTGCTGCCTCTGCTGCTGCCTCTGCTGCTGCTGCCTCTGCTGCTGCTGCCTCTGCTGCTGCCTCTGCTGCTGCCTCTGCTGCTGCTGCCTCTGCTGCTGCTGCCTCTGCTGCCTCTGCTGCTGCCTCTGCTGCTGCCTCTGCTGCTGCCTCTGCTGCTGCTGCCTCTGCTGCTGCTGCCTCTGCTGCCTCTGCTGCCTCTGCTGCTGCCTCTGCTGCTGCCTCTACTGCTGCCTGTGCTGCTGCCTGTGCTGCTGCCTGTGCTGCTGCCTCTGCTGCTGCCTCTGCTGCTGCCTCTGCTGCTGCTGCCTCTGCTGCTGCTGCCTGTGCTGCTGCCTCTGCTGCTGCCTCTGCTGCTGCTGCCTCTGCTGCTGCTGCCTCTGCTGCTGCTGCCTGTGCTGCTGCCTCTGCTGCTGCTGCTGCTGCTGCTGCCTCTACTGCTGCCTCTGCTGCTGCCTGTGCTGCTGCCTGTGCTGCTGCCTGTGCTGCTGCCTGTGCTGCTGCTGCCTCTACTGCTGCTGCCTCTGCTGCTGCTGCCTCTGCTGCTGCTGCCTGTGCTGCTGCCTGTGCTGCTGCCTCTGCTGCTGCTGCCTCTGCTGCTGCCTCTGCTGCTGCCTGTGCTGCTGCCTGTGCTGCTGCCTGTGCTGCTGCCTCTGCTGCTGCCTCTACTGCTGCTGCCTCTGCTGCTGCCTCTGCTGCTGTGACCTAAAGTGCTGCTGCCTCTGCTGCTGCTGCCTCTGCTGCTGCTGCCTGTGCTGCTGCTGCCTCTGCTGCTGCTGCCTGTGCTGCTGCTGCCTCTGCTGCTGTGACCTAAAATGCTGCTGCCTCTGCTGCTGCTGCCTCTGCTGCCTCTGCTGCTGCCTCTACTGCTGCCTCTGCTGCTGCCTCTGCTGCTGCCTCTACTGCTGCCTCTGCTGCTGCCTGTGCTGCTGCCTGTGCTGCTGCCTGTGCTGCTGCCTGTGCTGCTGCCTGTGCTGCTGCCTCTGCTGCTGCCTCTGCTGCTGCCTCTGCTGCTGCCTCTGCTGCTGCTGCTGCCTCTACTGCTGCCTCTGCCTGTGCTGCTGCCTGTGCTGCTGCCTGTGCTGCTGCCTGTGCTGCTGCCTGTGCTGCTGCCTCTGCTGCTGCCTCTACTGCTGCTGCCTCTGCTGCTGCTGCTGCCTGTGCTGCTGCCTCTGCTGCTGCTGCCTCTACTGCTGCTGCCTCTGCTGCTGCCTCTGCTGCTGTGACCTAAAGTGCTGCTGCCTCTGCTGCTGTGACCTAAAGTGCTGCTGCCTCTGCTGCTGTGACCTAAAGTGCTGCTGCCTCTGCTGCTGCCTGTGCTGCTGCTGCCTGTGCTGCTGCTGCCTCTGCTGCTGCTGCCTCTGCTGCTGTGACCTAAAATGCTGCTGCCTCTGCTGCTGTGACCTAAAGTGCTGCTGCCTCTGCTGCTGCTGCCTCTGCTGCTGTGACCTAAAGTGCTGCTGCCTCTGCTGCTGCTGCCTCTGCTGCTGTGACCTAAAGTGCTGCTGCCTCTGCTGCTGCTGCCTCTGCTGCTGTGACCTAAAGTGCTGCTGCCTCTGCCTCTGCTGTGCTGCTGCCTCTGCTGCTGTGAACTAAAGTGCTGCTGCATGTTGATACTATTGTTAGCTACTTTTAGTATTATCTATTTATGTTCATGTTTTGTTTGTTTGGATGGATGTGTTTCTGCTGCTACTGGACACCTGCATTTCTCCTACGAGGCTCTAAATATCTATGTATCAGACAAATAGCACTGCTTACCGCAAATTGTGTGCTTGTATATTGTATAAAGTCATTGTAATCGTGATAATTATAATTTAAATTTTATATCTTAGAAGTGTATGCTGATTATTATTATTATGCCTCACTCTATTCTCTATTTTTTACCTCTCTTTCTGACTGATGCACTGAGCCAAAGCAATTTCCAAGTCTGTGACTTCCTGTTACTTACATGGCAATAAAAATGATTCTGATTCTGATCAGGGCTCTACTCTCAGTGCACTGTTCACATAAACCAGCAGGAGGCGCTACTGCGTATAACAGGAGGATCTTTTGAACTTACCTAAAGTGTTGCTTCTTTAACACTAACGTACTTTGGTTTCTCTCTGGTTTGATATTCATTAAAACAGCAGAGATCTTACCTACAGCCTACATTCTGTGGGGTCACTGTCCTGACAGATACATACACAGATAGTTTATTGATCTCCGTATGAGAAATTAAGGTGTCCAGTAGCAGCAGAAACACATCCATCCACATAAACAAAACAAATAGCTAACAACAGTATTCAAATGTAGAAAATGATAGAGCCCATTCTGACATGATTCACAGCTATGACATAAATATAAACATAAACCCACCTGCATCATCTCGGGAGGAAGAAGAATCTGGGCTTTTCTGGTTTTCTTTATCTGCCTCTGGTTTTCCGTCCTGTCCCTGGAAGTTGCTGGTGCGTCCGTCTGCAGTTCCTCTCTCCTGATTGGACGCCTCTGTCGCTTCCTTGGTGCCGTCAGACGTGGTCCCGCCCCTGAGCTCCGACGCTGGACCCTGAGCCGAGCTGGAGGACTTTATGCTTTTGGACGGAGAGGCCGACTTGGAGCCAGGACTCGCGTTGGACAATTCATCCTGTAAGAACAAAAGACAAACATTTACATTCTTTAAATATAACCTTGAAACCATGTGGGGGTTGCGTCTAATTAAAGGCTATGAGTATGTTTTTAAAAATATATAATACATATGTTTCACCACCTGGCTCTGTATTAGGATGTAGACCAAACCTGACCATGTCCATGCAACCATCATCAAGGATTTGACTTCAACCAGGAAACTTCATTTTTAATAGTTGTATATGCATCATCCATCCATTTTCTTCTGCTTCATCCGTCGCCGGGTCGCAGGGGCAGCAGTCTAAGCAGAGACGCCCAGATTTCCCTCTCCACACGCAATTTTTCCAGCTCATCCGGAGGGACCTCGAGGCGTTCCCAGGCCAGCTGAGAGACACCGTCCCTCCAGCGTCTCCTCCTGGTCTCCTCCTGGTCTCCTCCTGGTCTCCTCCTGGTCTCCTCCTGGTCTCGTCCTGGTCTCGTCCTGGTCTCGTCCTGGTCTCGTCCTGGTCTCGTCCTGGTCTCGTCCTGGTCTCGTCCTGGTCTCGTCCTGGTCTCGTCCTGGTCTCGTCCTGGTCTCGTCCTGGTCTCGTCCTGGTCTCGTCCTGGTCTCGTCCTGGTCTCGTCCTGGTCTCGTCCTGGTCTCGTCCTGGTCTCGTCCTGGTCTCGTCCTGGTCTCGTCCTGGTCTCGTCCTGGTCTCGTCCTGGTCTCGTCCTGGTCTCCTCCTGGTCTCCTCCTGGTCTCCTCCTGGTCTCCTCCTGGTCTCCTCCTGGTCTCCTCCTGGTCTCCTCCTGGTCTTCACCTGGTCTTCTCCTGGTCTCCTCCTGGTCTCCTCCTGGTCTCCTCCTGGTCTTTTCCTGGTCTCCTCCCGGTGGGACGTGCCCGGAACAGATGCCCAAGCCGCCTCAACTGGTTCCTCTCGACGTACACATCACTGGTTTCATTTTCAAACATGCAAAAGTGTTGAGTGTATTTCAGTCTCAGTCAGGTGGACACACTGGGTTAGCTGTAGAGAACGGTTAGCTAGCACACCACATCAGGGTCTCATCGACAGCGTTTTTTAGTAGATTAGGGTTTCACAAAAGTCTATGTAAAGCCACACCAGCGCAGAGGTCACAGGCTGCTCCACCTGCTGCTCCACCTGCTGCTCCATCTGCTGCTCCATCTGCTGCTCCACCTGCTGCTCCACCTGCTGCTCCATCTGCTGCTCTACCTGCTGCTGATCCGGTTCCTGATTTTCTGGAGAGTTTTTACTTTCCGTTATGACTGAAGACGAATGCTGCGGAGGAGAAGACACAGGCCGGTTCCCGACAGCTTTGTGATTGAAACTAATGTGAACAAATGATCTTCATTTAGGTCCTTCTGTGTTTTCAGGTAGATAACAGTAACTAACACATATTACAGTGAAATGTAACGGAAAGACAATACTTCTGGTCTTCTCCTGGTCTTCTCCTGGTCTTCTCCTGGTCTTCTCCTGGTCTTCTCCTGGTCTTCTCCTGGTCTTCTCCTGGTCTTCTCCTGGTCTTCTCCTGGTCTTCACCTAGTCTTCTCCTGGTCTTCTCCTGGTCTTCTCCTGGTCTTCTCCTTGTCTTCTCCTTGTCTTTTCCTGGTCTCCTCCTGGTCTCCTCCTGGTCTCCTCCTGGTCTCCTCCTGGTCTCCTCCGGGTCTCCTCCGGGTCTCCTCCGGGTCTCCTCCGGGTCTCCTCCTGGTCTTCTCCTGGTCTTCTCCTGGTCTTCTCCTGGTCTTCTCCTGGTCTTCTCCTGGTCTTCACCTGGTCTTCACCTGGTCTTCACCTGGTCTTCACCTGGTCTTCACCTGGTCTTCACCTGGTCTTCACCTGGTCTTCACCTGGTCTTCACCTGGTCTTCACCTGGTCTTCACCTGGTCTTTACCTGGTCTTTACCTGGTCTTTACCTGGTCTTTACCTGGTCTTTACCTGGTCTTTACCTGGTCTTCACCTGGTCTTCTCCTGGTCTTCACCTGGTCTTCACCTGGTCTTCTCCTGGTCTTCTCCTGGTCTTCTCCTGGTCTTCACCTGGTCTTCTCCTGGTCTTCTCCTGGTCTTCACCTAGTCTTCACCTAGTCTTCTCCTGGTCTTCTCCTGGTCTTTTAATTAATTAATTAATAATTACTTACTCAAATCTAGTTTCAATACTGGTTTTTAGTAACAATTAACTTTCATATATGTGTGAAGTTATACTTGTTTATATCTATCACAGAGGAAGTTTCAAAAGTAGTCACCTGGACCAAGATCCGACCTAAAAGTCTTTGCTGATCTGATGCCAGCTGCAGTCGTCTTACTCCTGCTCTGAGCAAACCTCAGAACAGACTGGTCAGCTCAAAGATCACCACTTTTCAAACTTCTGTGATTGTGATTCTCTGATCAAAGTGTTTGCAGTGATATATTCCCGTCAGTAAAGCTGTCCCCACAGAACACTGCTGATCCACGCACTCAGCCTGTGGAAGGTGACCTCTGGAGCCAACACTTTACTAATGAGAAATGTTATTACGTTACACAGCGCTGTGGTCTCAGAAGGATTCACGTGGATCCAATAAAACCTCAGGCTCCGTGACTCAAAATGGAAATGGAAATCAATCACAGCGTCTCCTTCCGTTTATAATGTTCACAGCAGCAAAGTGAGACCCCAGTCCCAGTCCCAGTCCCAGTCCCAGTCCCAGTCCCAGGAGATATAAAGTCCTCTGCAGAGAGAAACACCTCCTGGGACTTTGCTGAGAAAGGGCTGATCATACACAATAGTAGACGGCAACGGAGAAGCAACCTGTAAATCTTTTAAGTTATGAATTACACAGAATATCTTATCAGCATTAGACAGTTTAGAAATTCACATTAGTTTGACCAAATTTACTTTAAATGTGGCCTCAAACTCAGTTCAGCTGGGTCTGAGTGAGTCTCATATATTTATATATATTTATCACAGATGTGGGTTTGTGTAAAATATATTAACAGTAACGAATATACGCTCACGCAGATGTAGAATTAAACACTAAAATGACACGTCGTTTTACTTAGCTCCAGGGTAACTAAAGATTCTTTAATAATACCAGTATAAAAGAAAGCATTTGTGCGAAGAACAGACACAAAAACAGAGAGACTTTGTGGAAAGTGCCATTTGCATCTTGGTATTTTTGCTTTTATTGAATATGAGTTTAGATATTATGAAGAGGTTGAATAAAACTCACTTTATGTATTTTTTTATACGCCTAGGGTTCAATGTTTATGGTAATATAAATAAGGTGGTTGTGTTCTTGATAAAATTAGCTTTAAATTAAACATTATATGGGCCCAGAGTAGCATGTTTGAGATCCCTGGTGTAAATAGTGTCTGTTTAACCATTTAAATACATCAAGCAAAGCAGACAAAATGAAATAAACCAATGGTATGGTCTTGAATGTGTGGTTCATGATAATGGAGCCAGTTCCACTTTCCTTTAAAATAATGTACGCCAGAATGTATACACAGTTTGGATGAGAAGATATGATTCTGTGGAGAATTGTTCTACCACAGAAAGACAGAAAGTTTTATGCCATTCATAATACGCATTTTAAAAAGGTACATACTGCCACTTCAGAATGCATCAACGTTTCAAACAAAGCAGTATTTCTACAACTGTACTGCAAGAAGCACTAATACTGAAACACGCCTCTGCTCTGGAGGCAGCTTCATCATCAGTTTGTTCTAAAGGCAATTGTCCTTAAAAGATAAAACTATACGTATTGACACCAGCATTAACATTCAAGATGGAGCCAGGTCTCCACAGAAACCAGAGAGAAACCCTGTGTCCTTGCCCCCTCCTCTGAGGTGGGCTCATGATGGGACCACTTCCTCTGGAGCCGGGCCACACTCTTACGCACCCACAGACTCACAAAACCTCAGGCTGCTAAACATTCTGACCACAAATCACTTCTATTGTGAGGAAAGGAAAACCTGTTTAACTCTGTCCACGAGCACAGAGTGTATCTACTGGAGAGGGAACTGTCTGCTCCGCTGGGGAAGGGCCTGGGAGAGTCATGGTCTAGAAATGTAGAATTATCTGAGTCCTAAAGCCTCTTCTCAGCTCGAGTACTGAACAGAAACCCGGAAGTACGACCACATTAGTCCAGTTCTCAGGTCTCTGCACTGGCTCCTGTGGCTCAGAGAATAGACTTTAAAACAGCTTTGTTTTGTCTCTCCATGGCCTCAAAGTACATTAATGACATGTTAGTGCCATATGAACCAACTCTGATCAACTCTGAGGAGCACAGGGACTGGCCTCCTGCTGGGACTCTGGGGAGCACAGGGACTGGCCTCCTGCTGGGACTCTGGGGAGCACAGGGACTGGCCTCCTGCTGGGACTCTGGGGAGCACAGGGACTGGCCTCCTGCTGGGACTCTGGGAAGCACAGGGACTGGCCTCCTGCTGGGACTCTGGGAAGCACAGGGACTGGCCTCCTGCTGGGACTCTGAGGAGCACAGGGACTGGCCTCCTGCTGGGACTCTGAGGAGCACAGGGACTGGCCTCCTTCTGGTGCCATAGAAGTAATGCCTTGTGTTTCTATCTTATTTTGTTAAGCACTTAAGAGTTGCCTTGTGTATGAACTGTGCTACACAAAAAACCTTGCCTTCCCTTGTCTTCCATATGTTTCAACTATTACCAAGCACATGTAATAACTTGTTGCAGCCCTAGAGTAAAGTACAGATGTTCTCGTTCAGTCCTGCTGTAAGCGGTTTAAGGCTTTGAGTTTGGCTTTAAATCAAGGCCAAATGTAAGGCCTCCCTCAAAGGGAATGACTTTGAAACAGCAACAGTCTTGGCTGCTTGCTTTTGTGAGTTCTGATCTTTGTCATAAATATGTTTACGGTGAAAGAGAAAACACATCGGAGCAGACCACGGACGGGCTCAGAGATGGGGCTCACCTTCAGACTGGTGTTGGAGCGTGGGTGGTTGAGGTTGTTGAATCTCCACAGTTCGGCTGCTTCCTCACTCGGCCTTTGGGGGTCTGAGAGCAAGCCGTCTGCCCCAGGGAGCTGAAAGAGGCCGATGGAGATGGGACGCTCCTTCCTGCATACAGACAGACAATATTCCGCTTAATTTATCAGAATCAGAATCATTTTTATTGCCACGTAAGTAACAAACAAGTTACCACTTGGAATTGTTTTGGCAGAGAGCGTGCCACTTCGCCATTTGCAGTGCTGTGTTATATTAATATTATAACAATAATATTAATATAACTTCATTGATACATTTAAGTTTTTTTCATAAAATATGCAGATTAAAAGAGTGAGGAGGAAGAGGAGTGCGTCATCAGGAGGACAGTGTGGTTCCTTATGATGTTACGTAGGGGGAGCAAGTAGATGGGGAACCGGCCTGGTCCCAGGACAGATCCCTGTGGGACTCCTCGGGTGATTGGGTGAGGTAGTGTTTTGCCACAAGCTCCAGTGAGATAGGACTCAAACCAACAGAGTGTGGTGCCAGAGTCCAACCACGGACTGGAGCACAGCAGGATGTGATGGTCCACTGTGTAAAGCGGCTGATAGGTCCAGGAGTGTGAGGAGAGATGGTGAGCCCTGGTCCACGTTCACATACAGGTCATTTATGAACCGTACCAGGGCAGTCTCTGTGCTATGAGCCAACCACAAACCAGATTGAATTTTTTCGTGGATGTTATTGATGCGCAGGTGGGTATGGAGTTGTACTGAAACAACTTTCTCCAAATCCTTGAAAGAAGTGGTAGATTGGAAATAGGTCGGGAGCTCTCCAGGTTGTCAGGGTCCAGTGAGGTGAGGTGAGGTGAGGTGAGGTGAGGTGAGGTGAGGTGAGGTGAGGTGAGGTGAGGTGAGGTGAGGTGAGGTGAGGTGAGGTGAGGTGAGGTGAGGTGAGGGGGGGGGGGGGGGGGGGGGCTCTGGGCTGTATTACATTATGTTAGCACTGACTGTGCACCATTCCCAACACTGTAAAGTGCAGAACAATAGCTTTCACAGAGAGCGGGGGTCAGCAGCCGCCAGCGCAGAACAATAGACACTGCCATATGGAGCGCGGAGGACGAGCATACCAAAATGACAAAACTATTTGACAATATGGCATTGTTGTTTTGGAGATATTATTTAAAAAGGACATCCAAATTCTGATCAATATTAATTGAACTTCTGTCTGACTTGACTCACTCACTTTTAGACAAATCAAAATTAGAGCTTGAATTGTACAGGTAGATAAACACCATTCAATAAAGTGTTTCCCCAGTAACTGCATAAATCATCTATTCAAAATATCAATGTGTATAAAATTGGGTATTTTTTAAAATAAATATATTTGGTAATAAGCTGGGGAAGGGTAAATCAAGGGAGACCATCACACGTTTGCATTATGCAAAAAATGGGCCGACAAATATAACAATTAGTAATGTAGTAGTGTAGCTGAAGTTCATAAACATAATGTCAACAAAAACATCTACACAGTCAATTCAACTTTACTGTAAACTACTACATGTCTCTGATCACATGCCATGCAATAAAGTATCTATCTATATTCCATGTGCTTTAAAGTCTTTCCAGTTCACATTTTCTATTTTCACGACTGTTTGACAAGTAGCTTTAGAAAAATCATTCTGATGAGCACTACTAAGGGAAAGACATCGGATAAAATTCAATAACAAACACTAAAACACCAGTCATTAGCCTTTAGGACTAAACCAGTTACATAAGAAAAGGCACATCCACTTTCTCTGAGATTCAGCTGCGTGTGGTCAGTACCGCTCGCACCACATGGTAAACACCTGCATCACCATCCCCACCCCGGGTCCCAGTACCTGGTGCGGGCTCTGGGCAGAGAGGGCAGAGAGGGCAGAGAGGGCAGAGAGGGCAGGCTCCCAGTGGACACAGAGTAATGCACCAGCAGCAGCACCGACAGAGACACCAGCACTGCAGAGTTAACCACCACAGCACTGCCCACGAAGCCGAACACCAGCAGCAGCATGCACCGGGGGTTCATGGCCCGGCTGCCTGTGCATGAAGGCTGCAGCCGGGAAGGTCCGGGGGGTCCGGGGGGGGGGAGGTGCGAGGTCTAGTCCATGCGCAGAGAGTCCATTGAAAAACCCAGAGATGTCAGAGAAAGCCTCCGGAGCCGCTTCCTTCATGACCAGGTGATGGTGTGTGTGTGTGTGTGTGTGTGTGTGTGTGTGTGTGTGTGTGTGTGTGTGTGTGTGTGTGTGTGTGTGTGTGTGTGTGTGTGTGTGTGTGTGTGTGTGTGTGTGTGTGTGTGTGTGTGTGCGTCCGCGGGGGGAGAATGCACCCACACTCCCCCCTCTGCCGTCAGACCCCCTCCCCTCTCTGATGCTCTGTCTCTCCATTTATTTATATATTTTTCATTAAAGGAACCAGCTCACGGCCACAGCAGCTGTGAGCTTTGCTCTGTGTTTGTGAAGCAAAGTTTATCATTTCAGTGATCTTTCATAAAACTGTACAGTGTTTTTAAGTTTTTATTTTCATTATTGTTTTATTATGCCTGGTCTGATTGTCTCTCTCTGTCTCTCTCTATCTCTCAGTCTCTCTCAGTCTCTCTCTCTCTCCATCTCTCAGTCTCTCTCTCTGTCTGTCTCTCTCTCTGTCTCTCTGTCTGTCTCTCTCTCTGTCTCTCTCTCTGTCTCTCTATCTGTCTGTCTCTCTGTCTGTCTCTGTCTCTCTATCTGTCTCTCTATCTGTCTGTCTCTCTATCTGTCTGTCTCTCTGTCTCTGTCTCTCTCCGTCTCCCTCCGTCTCCAATATAAATTTGAGGTTTCCCCCATTACCTTTGCAAGAAAGAGGTCTGTCCCCTTGTCTCTAAATGTCTAATTTTATAATGTTGTCCTTATTTACACTCATCGTCATCTATAAGTTCATATTAATCACGTTTATTGTCCCTTAACGTTGAAATGCGTGTGTTGAGGACAGATGTCTTTTTCTCGTTAGTTTGAGCTGGGACTGTGTTAGCAGACTCAGGCTAATTAGATTTTGTTATTGACGCCTCAAAGTTCATCTGAGTGTTTCTCTGCATCACACCTCAATAACACAACCCAGAACAGAAAGGTCTCTCTCACTACATTTGCACAAGTTTGGCAGTCGTTTGCTGTGTGTTTTTATCATTTTTCGTCTCTCCATTTATTTATTATCGTGTGATGTTATCCTTTTTTTGTGCAGTTAAGAAATGAAATGAAATCCACAGTGCATTTTGCTTTGTGAAGTAGAGCCTTTTGGAAACAGCTTTCACGTGCAGCTGTTTAGAATGCCGAGTGTACTTTTGATTATAAAACATTTCATCCCAGAGAGGATTGAAAAGATCCAGACTGACCTGGTCTTGGTGGGGGCGGACTCTGAAGGCTCTGGAGCTGGGCCGTGCTGGTGCTTGGTTCTCTCCAGGTGCTCCATGTAGCTGTGGATCATCTGACACCACAAAACATGCACAAGGTTTGGATTGAGAACATGGGGAGGCAGCATTTCTGATTTGTTTACTAAAATAAAATAACATCTCTAACTGTAGTGTAAAACATCCGTCTCCAACACTTTTTGATTCTAAACTTGTCTCTCGTGTGGAGATCTCACCTCTGTGTGTCTCTGATGAAGTGAATTGTACTCTTTCTTAAGCTCCGCCTCCCGCTCTTCGAATCTGCTGACTGTAAACAAGAGACAACAGTTAAAACACCACAACATAATTCAGTATGAAATAGAGGAGATGAGTTTTTGGTTGATCTGAGAGAAAAGAAGAGAAGAAAAAGCTGCTGTAATATTTCAGAACCACAAGAGGGCGACAGCACCAAGACAACAGGAGTAATACCCTTCAAAGGCTTTCTGTCGTACTTTTTAGTATTCATCAAATGTATTATCACACATACACACACATACACCCACACACACACACACACATACACACACACTCACACACACCTTTTTTACAGAACAAACAATATCAGAATGACAGAGGTTGGATGAAGTAGAACAATGTCTCCACCTTCTCTATTTTTGATTAGATTTTTCCTCAATGAAATTCAATACAGAATCAAAACAAATGGTGCATAAACAGCACGCTAAAAAACGCTAGTGAGTTTAGGAGAAAGAACAAGTCCTCTCTTCCTCTCGCTCTCTCTCTTTTGCTTTAGTTTTTTGTACAGCCCATCTAAATGTATATATTCTGGAAAAAAGTAGTAGTAGTTTAGTTGAATTGGTTTTAAGTGAAACAGACAATTTTTTTCAATTCAAAATAAATAAAATATTACGGCATCACTAATCCTCCAGAGAGAGTGTCAGTTTATGCTTTACAATCATTTTTACAACTTCTCATGAGGTCGTTTATTTTGCAATCATAACAAAGATCCTTAAAGGTATACAAGAGGATTTTCTACTTCCGGGTGGATCATCAACACTATTGGTCCTCCCAAATGTCAATCATTCTGTTTATACGTCCTTGTCCTATAAGAGCAGAGAGTTTTGTTCAAAAAGTAGAAAGGGCGGTTCTTTCCTAAAATATGGGAAAATCCTCCTTTATACCTTTAAGATGAATTATTGAAGAGATGAAAGAGGTTTTAGAGGATTAATGTGAGACGGACTTTCTTTCTACTATTAAATTAGATAAGATTGGCTTTTCCACAGTCAAAGTTTTGGAGGTAGATACACACAGGTCACACACACACACACAGAGGTCACGCACACACACAGGTCACACACACACACACACACACACACACACAGAGGTCACGCACACACACACACACACACACACACACACACACACGCACACATCATGAGGCCTGTTTGAAGCTCTGGGCCTCCTCCTGCTCCGTCTCATTAAACACAAACCTCCAGCTAAAGCCAACGCTCAGACAGATGTGGCCCAGAGTTAAAGGGGACATACCTTTCTACGGATTGTGTCCACATTCTGCTCCATTCACACACTTTACACACTTTACTCGAGTCATTTACATTTGATAATAACAGACGCCACTATACTTTAAAGACAGTTTTACTCAGAGATGGGACAGCAAAGTGTATCACAATCATATCAAAATTGTGAGTTTGACTTAGACTTTACTGATCCACAGGGAAATCGTCACAGCAGCTTGCATTGTATTCCGTTTTCCGTTTTAATGCTCATAATAGTTATAAAAACCACTATTATGACCAGAGTTGTAGAGTATTCAGTCTGATCAGCCTGGTTTAAAACATCTTTCTCTGAGATACAAGTAGGTTTGCCACGATTTCAAATGTTTGAGTCACGATTATTCACAATTATGAAAGAAAATCAACTCCGTTTTTTGAGTTTTGTCCTGGAAAACAATAAATGGATGAATTAAGATGATCATATAATATTTTACATGATTTTATTGTATGTGTTACATGTAAACAGCTGAACATTATAAATATTCAATAAAGTTGTGTTTATATAAAAAATGAATTCATGAATGTGTACAGCCTAGTTGTTGAGTAGCAGCCGTCTTCATAGTTGTAGTCTGGGTTTTGTGTCTGCATTTGTTTCGCTGACTAAGGAAATGTGTTACTGTCCCTTTAAGAGCGTCTCCCAGCGCACGTGCTTTTTCCCGGTGTAACTTTCACTTTCACATTTGCAGAATCCTTTCATTAATGCGCACCTGGGACAGTTTAGGAGATTATTTCTAAAACATTTGGAAATCTTTATTGACAATTATGCAGTGATTTTACCTTGACTTGGACAAAGGAGGATTACCTCAAAGTTTCCTGACCTTGTAAAGCTCTACAAATCAACTGTACTATTTAAAACATTTAGTAACATACAACAATCTTCTATTCTTAAAGAAAAAACACAATCTAAGACGTCTTGGAAACTTCCAACTCCCAAAATTCCGATCGACTCGTAAAAGTTTCTGTGTGACTGTATGTGGCGTGAGATTGTGGAATGCTCTGGATCTCCAACTAAAACTAGGCCAAGACATTCACAGATTTAAGTCACTTTGTAAAAATATGTTTGGTCTGACTTTAACTCATTGTGTCCCATTGACGCACAAATATGTCAAATGCCTTTTTCGCTATTTTCACGTTCCCAGATGTCTATTGTATCTAATATGTATGGGGATGACTTGAGACCATATTTTATCGAGCCAGCAGGTGGCAGCATTGCTCTCTGAATGGTTTGAAAACAGTTAGGTGCACATGTTGTGCCTATTTTTTCTCAACTTTCTGGTGATTTCTGGTGATTTCAGTAAAACTTCCCTCTACTCGACGGAGGATTACAGGGGAACGAAAAAAGCTATAAACAAAATTCTTTTTGCTGAGGAAAGTAGACAGTCCATTCTTTTAGAATCTGGTGTCGGGTTTCAGATAGTCATAGTACACAATATTCTGTGGGTCTTTAAAAATCAGTAAAAACCATCAGAAACGGCTGGCAATATGGGAGTACCTGTTCTGAAATGGGCTGGCAGTCAATAGAGAAAATGCTGTGAATATATCTTCATGTTGCCACGTCCTCTTCTGTATGTTTGTAATTGCCCCTGTTGTTCCAATACCATCCATCCATTTTCTACCCCTTAATCCATTTCTGGGTCGGGGGGGTGGCCAGAGATGCCACCCAGTCCACAGAGCACCAGCCCCTCACTGATCCTCCTGCAGGTACTGAGTCCACAGGAGGAAGGCCGCTCTATGACACAGCCTTGATCTTTCAGTAGGGGCTTCAGGCAACAAGCCACTGAGCCACTGGTCCTTACCATTGCTGGTATTTGCGGTTCTTTATGTACCATATTGGTTTTTACTGTCCTTTACCGTTGCTGGTGTTTCCCTCATGCAGTTGTTTGTCTATGTCCTTAAACCCATTAATTATTACTTTAAAACCTGAACAGTTGATTCAAATGTGCAATCTCAATGAGTAATGTTTTTTAAGGCACCAGGACGGGATTAAATACGTTTTCTTCTTCCCACTCCTTTTCGAGTATCTGCAAGTGTTTCTTTTGTGTTTATAATATTGATAATTTCGTGTAAATGTAACTCAGGGTTATTTATGCACAATTTTGATATTCTACTTTTGTTTCTTGTACACTTATTTGCTCTAAATAAACATGAACATCCATCCAATAAGGTGGAGGTGAGTGAAGGACGGGGGGACTCACTCTGGTCTGCGTAGTTCTTGGTCTTGGTCTCCAGCTGTCGGGCCTGGGACTCCAGCGAGATGACCCTGATCTGCAGCTCCTTCTTCTCGCCCTCCTGAGAGTCCTCCATCGCCATGAAGGTCTGCAAACACACAGAATACTTCTTTACCCGACGATGGCAGTAGTTCAGAGATATTTGGATTCATAAATTACTTTTTCAGCTCCTAAATCTTGTTATTATTTTCATTTCGATGTCCCGCCCTCCACCGTTTCACCAATCAGAAAGTCTGTGGTCCGGGCGCCAGAACTCACCGTGTGGAGCTAATCTCACTGGTAAAGTACCATGTGGCGCAGAACTAAAAAAGGTCTCGTTATGATTCTCAAATCATTAACGACAAAACCATGAATAAAACCAGGATTTCTATCTTTGTGAAAAAGGTGTTGGTTATAGATTTGTTGTTGACAAAACTCTTGTCTATTCAGCTGTTATGGTCCCAGCTGGATTCGTCTGCATATCTGGCAACCTGAGTCAGGGAGAGTGGGAGAGGCTGCAGTACCACTTTTGGACACATTTTTACATATTGCTCATTTAAGTGATCAATATTTATGACTTTATTTTATGAAAGTTTTATTTAAAAAAAAAGTAAAAATAGGGGGTATATGACAGATGATACAGCATGAATGAGTCTAAAAACAACTTCAGACGGAAAAGTGCTCTCATCATTTGAATGTGATAATGAAGTAGGGACAGTGATCAGATTCAGATTCAGTTTATTTGCCATTTGCAGTAAAACCACATTGGAATACATTAGCAAAAGTCCCCAGTGTGCACAAGACAAGTACACACATAAGCTCGGCCCCCCGCCGAGCTGGGGGCCCTCGTGGGGGGATGAGCATCACCTGAGTCACCCTCTGGGGCCACAGGTGATGTCACTGTTGAAATGTAATCTCCAAACCATCCCAGAGTTTATGGCTTTAAAGACCTTATGACGGGTTTTTTTTTTAAAAATTGTGGATATCAAAATTGCATGACAATGTCAATTTGAAAGAGATTCCGGCAAAAAAAATCCTATATTTTATAAAAAGAACGTGTTTTTCATGAATTTAAGCTGTCTATGCTCTAACCTGTGTGTGACGTCATAGCGGGTTACGCCCATGCATTGAAAACCATGGATCTATGCCACAGGACTGCCTTTTCTCTCTTCTCTCCACTGATGCCCAACACAATACTGCCCTCTACAGGTGACAATTGCTCACTACACATAAATTGCCGTTTTGAGAGTGAAAAAGTGTCCGAGGTGGGAATTGAACCCAAGTATCTGGATTGGCAGTCCATCGACACAACCACTGGACTATCTCAGTGACAACAAAATGATACAATCTAGTTATCTCTCGCTGTACACGGCCTTGTCATCTTGAATATCCGCGAAAAAAGAACGAATACCAAATTGTAAACAACTTACAGCGTTGAAACGTACCCGTTCTGACGTCACCAAGGGCTGTGAAGTTTTTTCGTTTCTAAGGGCGTTGCTATGGGGTTATTTCGATTTGGGGGGATCAGACAAAAAAAACAACAACTGATTTTGAAACCTTTAGTAGTTCTCTTCTGATATAAAATGGTATTAAAACTGTATTTCTAAATAAATCAAACCCGTCATAAGGTCTTTAAGTAATGCTTTAGTCTATATGAGTGTGTTAGCTTCTTTGTTATGCTAAAGCTAGAGATTTTATACTAGCTTCTTTATTATGCTAAAGCTAGAGATTTTAGACTAGCTTCTTTATTATGCTAAAGCTAGAGATTTTAGACTAGCTTCTTTATTATGCTAAAGCTAGAGATTTTATACTAGCTTCTTTATTATGCTAAAGCTAGAGATTTTATACTAGCTTCTTTATTATGCTAAAGCTAGAGGTTTTATACTAGCTTCTTTGTTATGCTAAAGCTAGAGATTTTATACTAGCTTCTTTATTATGCTAAAGCTAGAGATTTTATACTAGCTTCTTTATTATGCTAAAGCTAGAGATTTTAGACTAGCTTCTTTATTATGCTAAAGCTAGAGGTTTTATACTAGCTTCTTTGTTATGCTAAAGCTAGAGATTTTAGACTAGCTTCTTTATTATGCTAAAGCTAGAGATTTTATACAAGCTTCTTTATCATGCTAAAGCTAGAGATTTTATACTAGCTTCTTTATTATGCTAAAGCTAGAGATTTTATACTAGCTTCTTTATTATGCTAAAGCTAGAGATTTTATACTAGCTTCTTTATTATGCTAAAGCTAGAGATTTTAGACTAGCTTCTTTATTATGCTAAAGCTAGAGATTTTATACTAGCTTCTTTATTATGCTAAAGCTAGAGATTTTATACTAGCTTCTTTATTATGCTAAAGCTAGAGATTTTATACTAGCTTCTTTATTATGCTAAAGCTAGAGATTTTAGACTAGCTTCTTTATTATGCTAAAGCTAGAGATTTTATACTAGCTTCTTTATTATGCTAAAGCTAGAGATTTTATACTAGCTTCTTTATTATGCTAAAGCTAGAGATTTTATACTAGCTTCTTTGTTATGCTAAAGCTAGAGATTTTATACTAGCTTCTTTGTTATGCTAAAGCTAGAGATTTTATACTAGCTTCTTTATTATGCTAAAGCTAGAGGTTTTATACTAGCTTCTTTGTTATGCTAAAGCTAGAGATTTTAGACTAGCTTCTTTGTTATGCTAAAGCTAGAGATTTTAGACTAGCTTCTTTATTATGCTAAAGCTAGAGGTTTTATACTAGCTTCTTTGTTATGCTAAAGCTAGAGATTTTATACTAGCTTCTTTATTATGCTAAAGCTAGAGATTTTAGACTAGCTTCTTTATCATGCTAGACTTTAAACTTGCGAACGTTACAAATGGTATTTTATTTCAGTACAGAGTTATAGTTCACTTCTTGTGCTGTGTGCTCCTCATTCCTGTAACTGCTGATGGTGTATTTATTTTTAGAAGCAAAAACAACTCGTCTGAAAGGTCTGTGCACAAAAACATCTTGGAACAGTAAAGATTTAGCACAGAAACTTTTGATTGACAGGTATTATCAGAAAACATCAGACCTGCACCTGATGCACAAGAAACGTCAATGAACTAATTATTGACGTTAGAGATTGAGGATTAGGATTTATTTTGTATTTACTAATTATGTGCATGAGGCATTCAGAATATATGAAAAGGATTACAAAACATATAGTGCAGACGTGTCCAAACTCAGGCCTGCGGGCCATTTGCGGTCCCCTGTGCCCTTTTATGAGGCCCTCTGCTGCTAACACAAAGTCGCCATTGAGGCACTTTGATCGTGTCATCCAGCCAACTTCAGCTCCTCCAATACACTCATGCTATACCTTGTTGTAAATCTCAGAGCCTCAGTAAAATACATATCATATCATAATCCTTTTTAAATTCCAGAATCCAGTCAATCCAGGTTCTCGGCCCCAAGTCAAGTCTGAGGAACCAAAGTGGCCCTCTTACTAAAAAGTTTGCTTACTCACTATATCATCTTTTTTTATGGAGAAGCTTTCACAAACACAAACTTATTATTATTATTATTATCACGTGGCCATGTCCCTATAATAATAGATTTTTATTGCCTGGGACCAATTCCTCTTTGTTATGGAGGTGTTGTGGCACTAAAGGATTATTCAGAGACTATTTGTTTGGATAAAAACTGCATAAAAAAGGCAAAGAATGTTTTTTGTTTTTTTTTTACTATAATTACATGTTGAATATAGAACATAGAATACATTAAATAAAGGTTAAAATGAGGTATAACATGCTGTGGTAGCCATATTACCAACACTGTTATACCATCAATGCTGCGAGTGAATATTTGTAAATCAGTTCAGAGATTTATTTTGTTTTACTTGAAAGCCTTATTTAATTATTATTCAACAAAAGGTGGAGGTCCAGTTTGATAAATGATAAAGTATAACACTAAACGTTTTGAATAATCACAAATGAATGAACCTGTATTTCTTCCGATCGCTGTCATTTTAATTACAAAAAGGATCTAAATTGCTTTTGTACCAGGATCAATATGACTATAAATCTAAAAAAAAACCAAATGGCTTGTTGTTCTCCACCTACCCTTAAAGATTCAAGATTAATTTCTTATGTCCCGTAGGAAGTCTGTGTTGGACTCAGAGGCAGCCATGACACCTTGTTTTGTCTTCAGTGCTACAGTATAGTCCTTATGATCCTAATTAGAGAACAGGGAACAGTTTGTGGCTCTTTGAGAAGGTCTAGGTCTGGGTCTGGGTCTGGGTCTGGGTCTGGGTCTGGGTCTGGGTCCCGTGGCTTTGGCTCCGAGGGACTGCGCTCTGTGGAGAAAGGCATCTTTGTCTGAGGTCGGACACGCGGAGCCACAGAACAGTCACTGGAAAGTCCATTCACTTCATACACTTCTGCTGCGAAGGGTCGAGAGGCAGAGGGGCAGAGGGGCAGAGAGGCAGAGGGGCTGAGGGCGGGGGGCAGAGGGGCAGAGGGCAGAGGGGTTGAGGGCAGAAGGGCTGAGGGCGGGGGGCAGAGGTGCGGGGGGCAGAGGTGCGGGGGGCAGAGGTGCGGGGGGCAGAGGGGCTGAGGGCAGAGGGGCTGAGGTGCAGAGGGGCTGAAGGGCTGAGGACAGAAGGGCTGAGGGCGGGGGGGCAGAGGGGCAGAGGAGCTGAGGGGCTGAGGGGCAGAGGGGCTGAGGGGCTGAGGGGCTGAGGGCAGAGGGCGGGGGGCAGAGGGGCTGAGGGCAGAGGGCGGGGGGCAGAGGGGCTGAGGGGCTGAGGGCGGGGGGGCTGAGGGGCTGAGGGGCTGAGGACAGAGGGACAGGGGGCAGAGGGGCTGATGGCGGGGGGCAGAGGGGCTGAGGGGTTGAGGGGCAGTGGGGCAACTTCAGGGACATTTTCAGGGAGAGATAAGAACTAGACTGAGTAGATGTTATGATCGTGAGAGGGACAAACAACAGTGACCTTCATTCACAGAATCGAGCCATAAGGGTTGTCACTGGATATAGAGACACAACTAATCCATTATTTACTCAACTAAAAACACTGAAATTTAATGAACTAGAAGAGTATACCTTGCTAAAATTATGTATAACGCTCATCTGGAAAGTTTACCCGTGAATTTGCAAAACAGATTCACAGCAGATATGAATTAAATGGAACCGAGATTTCTAACAAACACAGATTTCAATCGTCTTTAAAGGAATAATGTGTCTCAATCAAAGGAGTCGATGTGAAATCAAAACTTCTACGTCCGATTGTGTGTTTAAAAAGTCTGTAAAATTATCCATGTTGCAGAAATACATCACTGCGGATCAGCTGTAACTTTCATTTTGTGTTTGGAATTGTCAGAGTTGCATTAGAGGCTCAAATGCACTGGAACTGTCAATCATTTTGTGTTGATAGTAGTTTTTACTTCTTTCTGCTCCTTTTCATTCATGCTAAATGGTGTTAAAAATAAAAGATCGAAAGAAATCCATGGTCTTCATTAGATCACATCCTGAACCGCGGTGACTGCTCTGGTTCTGGAGAAGTGGGTTTGCTCCTTCTCTTATTTTTGTTATTTTGCTTTTGGTTCCTTTAATATTTTTCGACATTTCTTTTTTCTTGTTTAAAATTCTGTCTAGGTTGGTTTTGTGTGGGACTGTCCTGATGTGTGTATTTAGGCCCGAGCCCCGAACGGGGTAAGGGCCTATTGCTTTCACAATGGTGAAAACAAATGGTGGCGGTGCGTGACGGACGCGTCAGCGCCCGTCACTCGCCAAAACGTGACGGTTGCGTGCGTAAACTCAAAAGCTTTAAAATGATGTATCACGTGCCATTGAAACCTATATTGTTTTTGCTCGAGACGTTAACAAAAAAATTCCTTTTTTATTTATTTATTAGGCCCGAGCCCCGAACGGGGTAAGGGCCTATTGCTTTCACAATGGTGAAAACAAATGGTGGCGGTGCGTGACGGACGCGTCAGCGCCCGTCACTCGCCAAAACGTGACGGTTGCGTGCGTAAACTCAAAAGCTTTAAAATGATGTATCACGTGCCATTGAAACCTATATTGTTTTTGCTCGAGACGTCGAAAAAAAAATTCCTTTTTTATTTATTAGGCCCGAGCCCCGAACGGGGTAAGGGCCTATTGCTTTCACAATGGTGAAAACAAATGGTGGCGGTGCGTGACGGACGCGTCAGCGCCCGTCACTCACCAAAATGTGACAGTTGCGTGCGTAAACTCAAACGCTTTAAAATGATGTATCACATGCCATTGAAACCTATATTGTTTTTGCTCGAGACGTTAAAAAAAAAATTCCTTTTTTATTTATTTCTTTCTTTCTTTTTTCTTCTGCACTTTGAGCCTTAATTTGACCCCCTGAACATGCATGAAAAGTTGTTAAATTTTGCCCAAAAATCAGACCTGGCGAAAAATTTGATATTTTGGTGTTTATTTTTATGGGACTCAAAAAATGCCAGAACAGCGCCACCTACAACAGCCAAAATAATACCCCTATGGGACTTTTGAAGATGAAGTTTGTTGTAGAAACATGAAATTTGGTACACATGTTCCTCAAGTCAAGACATGAAAAAAATATTATTATGGCTCCGCCCTCTGACAAACAGGAAGCCCATAAATTTCACTGCAAAATGGAAAAATGAACAGCAAAAGTTTTCATACATGTCGGTTGGAAAGCGACTCCTCCTCGGCCGTTTCACCGATTCGCCTCAAAATCGCTCCACATCATCTCAACACATGTACCTTCAAAATGACCTCAGGGATTTTTGATCAGTGAAACATTGTTTGAGCAGCGGAGCGGCAAAATGTGACCTTTTTTTGGCCGTTTTTGACAACATTAAATTTGCTCCCGTTTGCACAAACAAAGTCTGATTTGCACAAAACTTTAATACATTGTTCAACTTTAGGGTCTAGGTCATTTGAAAGTTAAATGATTCAAATTGACACATTAGCGCCCCCTACAGACTATTTCAAAGTTTTAAATGGGCATTTTCAAATTTAGTTTTTTCAAAATGTTTGAAATTTTGCACATAAATCTGTTTTGCCTCTTGATTCAAAAAGTCAATAGGGTCCAAGGCTTATTTTTTACCCTGTTGCCGTGGCGACGACAAACGCTCCCCATTCATTGCAAATATACACCTCACACAAACATCAAACCAGCCTCGGCCGTTTCACCGATTCGCCTCAAAATCGCTCCACATCATCTCAACACATGTACCATCAAAATGACTTCAGGGATTTTGATCAGTGAAACGTTGTTTGAGCAGCGGAGCGGCAAAAAGTGGCGTATTTTTTTTCAGTTTTTGACCATAGAAAAATGGCTTCCGTTTGCACAAACAAAGTCTGATTTGCACAAAACTTGAATCCATGGTTCAACTCTTGGGTCTAGGTCATTTGAAAGTTAAAATTCTGAAATTGGCTCTATAGCGCCACCTACAACAGCCATATTAAAAATGCCTATGGGAGGGGTTCGAGGTCAAAATTGTCGTAGAACCATGTAATTTGGAACACATGTTCCTTAAGTCAAGACATGGGAAAAATGTTTTATTATGGCTAAGCCCTCTGACAAACAGAAAGCCCATAAATTTCATTGCAAAATGGAAACATGAAAACCAATCATTTTCATAAACGTCGGTTGGAAAGCGACTCCTCCTCGGCCGTTTCACCGATTGGCCTCAAAATTGTTCCAAATCATCTCAACACATTTACCTTCAAAATGACTTCAGGGAATTTTGATCAGTCAAACGTTGTTTGAGCAGCGAAGCGGCAAAATGTGAGGGTTTTTTTGGCTGTTTTTGACAACATAATTTTTTCCCGTTTGCACAAACAAAGACTGATTTGCATTAAACTTGAATCCATTGTTCAACTCCAGGGTTTAGGTCAGGTGAAAGTGAAATATTTGAAATTAGCCCATTAGCGCCCCCTAAAGACTGAGCCAAAGTTTACATCGGGAGCCAAACCAGCTCTAATAATCATATTCATTACAATTTGACTAAGTTCTTCTATGACTACGGGAACAAATCATCACACGGCGGCGCCACATCCTATGCGCGGTGCTACGTGGTACGGTGTGGTGCGGCGTAGTGCGGGGCGTTGTGGAGCGGCGCGTTGCGGCTTGGTACGGGACGGCGTGGTGCGGGACGGCGTGGTGCGGGACGGCGTGGTGCGGGACGGCGTGGTGCGGGACGGCGTGGTGCAGGGCGGCGTGGTGCGGGGAGTGCGCGCGGTGCAGGGAGTCGCGCGGTGCGGCGAGGGCCGTTCGACGCCGCTTGCGGCTTTAATTAGGCCCGAGCCCCGAACGGGGTAAGGGCCTATTGCTTTCACAATGGTGAAAACAAATGGTGGCGGTGCGTGACGGACGCGTCAGCGCCCGTCACTCACCAAAACGTGACGGTTGCGTGCGTAAACTCAAAAGCTTTAAAATGATGTATCAGGTGCCATTGAAACCTATATTGTTTTTGCTCGAGACGTTAACAAAAAAATTCCTTTTTTATTTATTTATTTATTTCTTTCTTTCTTTCTTTTTTCTTCTGCAACTTTGAGCCTTAATTTGACCCCCTGAACATGCATGAAAAGTTGTTAATTTTGGCCCAAAAATCAGACCTGGCGAAAAATTTGATATTTTGGTGTTTATTTTTATGGGACTCAAAAAATGACAGAACAGCGCCACCTACAACAGCCAAAATAATACCCCTATGGGGTTCTGTTTGTGTTTTGTAGTGTGTTTTTGTTCATTGTAATCTTGTGTTTCTGGACCCCTCGATAACGAGAGGGCACATCTCAAAGGGCATTCCATTAATAAACTAAACTGAAAACTAAAACTATGGCACTAAAAACATGGCAGCTGGTTTTGAAGTGCTGGTTTTCATCCCTTCCACCTCTGCTGTTGGTCCTGCTGAAGCCAACAGGACATAATCATTGGCAAATGGGGAATGCCAGTCCCGGGTCATAGCTGTGCACATGATCTTTAAACTCTAGATTTACAGGTAAGTCTTCACACCAACCCTCACCTCTGGTCCTGGGGATTGGAGATCCATCAAAAAGGACACTGTCAGAAGTGGATGGGGCCACAGTCTCATGGCTTCACTAGATACATTTAGACTAGACCCATACATTTAGACTAGATCCATACATTTAGACTAGACCCATACATTTAGACTAGACCCATACATTTAGACTAGACCCATACATTTAGACTAGACCCATACATTTATATTAGACCCATAAATTTATATTAGACCCATACATTTAGACTAGACCCATACATTTAGACTAGATCCATACATTTAGACTAGATCCATACATTTATATTAGACCCATACATTTATATTAGACCCATACATTTAGACTAGACCCATACATTCAGACTAGACCCATACATTTAGACTAGACCCATACATTTATATTAGACCCATACATTTAGACTAGACCCATACATTTAGACTAGATCCATACATTTAGACTAGACCAATACATTTATATTAGACCCATACATTTATATTAGACCCATACATTTATATTAGACCCATACATTTAGACTAGACCCATACATTTAGACTAGACCCATACATTCAGACTAGACCCATACATTTATATTAGACCCATACATTTATCTAATGCAATGAGAAAGCCCCCCCCCCCCACGTCTCCACAGAGCCGTGTGATTGGTCCGTGTCCGCTCACACGGCGAGAGGAAGTGCAGTAGAGAGCGTTTCCTGCCTTGCCCCTTCCTCCTGCAGCTCAGAGAGGACCCTTCCTCCTCAGCCTCAGTCCCTCTGGACATGAACCTCACATAAACCTGTTGGACTGAGACTGTCTGAGCAGCTTAAACAGAACTGTTGTTTCTATGCAACTGCTGTTTTTGATCAACTTTACCAAAAAGATAATCATATGAA